ACACGGATAACATGGTGGGGATTCACCCCTGAAAGAACCCAGGTGCCAGGCTGTGTCAAGCACATCCTGTCGCAAACCCAGCCCCTCCAGGACTTAGTGGTGTCAGTCCCTATTTTATTCTCTCTCCTGGCTCTGTGGGTCAGCAGGGCTCAGCTGGGCAGTCCTGCTGCTGGTCTCGCTTGGGTTTATCAAGTGGCTGGAGTATGCTGGAGGCTGGGCGGGGCTCAGGGGGGCCTGCCCCGGGCGAGCTGGGACAGCAGGCCGCCCGTCCCTCCCAGGTGAGGTTCCCTGAGGGCTCCCCAGCAGGGCGGCCTGGGCTGGCTGAACTCTGTGGGTTACCAGGAGTCACAAGCCAGCTGGGGCTCCTTGCGTGGGAGTCGATTACAGCAGGGCGTGGATACCAGAAGGCACGCACGCCCTCACGCATGCACACGCACACATCACGGAAGGCTGCCTTCATTCAGGTGGGCTGCACAACAGAGCCCCACAGACTGCGGGCCTAAACTGCCGACGGCTTTCTCACAGCTGCAGGCTGGAATTCTGAGGCCAGGGTGCCCCCGCCGTAGGTTTTCCTGCGTCTGACCTCACATGGCCTTTTGCTGGTACACGCAGACGCAGAGACAAAGAGAGAGGGGAACAGGCTCCAGCACGAGAGTGCTCTGGTCTTGTCCTGCCCTTTCAGGGCACCAAACCGTCACGGGGGCCCCACCCTCAGAGCCTCGTGTAAACCCAAGTACCTCCCGAAGGCCCCGCCTCTAAACGCTGTCACACCGGGGACAGGGCTTCGACACGTGGATTCAGGGGGACTCAATCCTTCAGTCTGTAGCTGGGGCCATCCTGGAAATGAGCCACCATGAGCTACTAGTGCCACCCTTCAGAAGGGCCACGCCGATTCCGCTCCCAGCAGCCAGGAATAGCATCACGTTGTTACTATACAGCCTGTGAAGCCGGCTCTCCGAAATCAAGGCGAAGCTCACTGAAAGGAGTGCAGAGGTGCTGTTACCCCCGCCCCATTAAGTCTCCTGACTGGTGGCCTTTCAGGGACTGAAAATGACGTCAGTAATAATGTATTGCATCTGCCCGACTGGGAAACTTCCCTACGCTGTTTACAGACGTGAGTCTCAGGTGGTGGAGCTGGGCTACGTATGAGCTGCCACTTCCCCATGTCCTCACCGCCACCTTTTACCTCCTGGCTTCATCATGGCGCCCATAGGACGCCTGTGACGTTCTGCATTCAGTCCTTACAGATGAGAAAGAAACATCATGGACCAGTGTTGGCAGCGGGACCCACGTGGGCCTTGCTTTGCATGCCCGTGGCCACGGTGTCCTGAGGGAGGAAGGAAAGCATCCCCCTGGAGGCAAGGGACACCGTGGGGACCGACAGGCCCTCCATCTCTGATCCACGTTTAATTTGTCGCAGAGTAGTCCAGCCGGTTGAAGGGTTTTAGGGGTGCAGTTACCCAGTGTTCATTATGCTGACCCCGAATCATGACCGAGGCGTGGTCACGGGTGGGGTCGCAGACCCACGGAGAGAGCACAACAAGAGTAACTAACGCAGACCTGAGTGGACGGCTGAGCGCCACCTCTCCCCCCTCCCATGAGTGTGGTACCAGCCACGGTTTCATATAAAAACAATGACAGTCTGATAAGCTGGCCGAAAGAAGGCTGGACTTGAGGAACCCATGGAAAATACAGACTAACACCCACATATTGACGACACAATCGACTCGAAATGTCTATCGCGCCTCGAGACGTGAAGATGTCGGCTCATCATAGTGAACGTGTATGTGCGTGCTAAAGCCTTTTGTTAATAGGGACACTCAATCAATCCAAAATATTTGGAGGCCACTGCCCCAGAGGGAAGACTTGGAATCGTGGGGTCACTGATTTTCAGGACCGGGTTGGGCGCAGCCACCACCTGGTGGCTCCCAGGTCCCTTCCATCCAGCAGACCCGGAGTAGCCCGTGATCACACCCTCGTCTGTCGTCACTCCCTGGAGACCCTCGGCCAGAGCCCAGCGCTCATAGCAGGCGGGAGGCCCTGCATCCACAGCTGATGGCTGATGGACAAGCAAGGGAACAGGGGATGCAGAAAGGAAGCAGGGAAAGGAGGAAGACAGGGGCAGGGAGGGAGGGGAGGAGGGAGATCTTCACACACATCCCCGAGCCTCGCTCTCCCCATCCCTCGGCAGGCTCCCACCACCCCTCCGAGCGCAGGTCACCACCCCCGGGTGCAGCCCTGCCGAGCTGCAAACCCACACACACACGGTCACGCTTCGCCTCTCACAGCCCAGGCCCAGTGCGGCCCTTCCAGTGGGGCCTCCTGTCACCACTTTCTATTGCTCGTCACTGTCCACTCCACCGAAGGGACCCTCCGGGACCCGCCAAGCCCTGAGCAGAGGGCCACGCTGCAGGAGCTTCAGGACTTTCTCTGGAAGGCCTGAAGGAAGACACGCACTCCTGTTTCCCAGTGCTGGCCCCGAATGCTCACTCAATAAGGGAAAGAAGAAGATTTTAGAAAAACAGCAACTGTTTTTGCAACGCCAGTTGGTGCCACCGGCCTGGGGGATTTAAAAAAAATCCCATAAGCAACTGGTGTCTTCTTTTCCTTCCTCCAATTCCCTTTGCTAAGCTGCCATGTGGTCCTGGCGACCACATTTGGGGTGACCTGGAAGCAGAAGACGTGGGGGAGACAGGCAGAAAGACCTGCCTTCTCCCTGCCCCTGCTTCCCCAGGACCCAGCACCAGTGGGCTGCAGGCACCCCTGAGGGGCTATGGACCCTGCTGGGCACTCAGCTTGCCACTCAGTCACCCCTCTGGCTACAGCAGTGCCCTGGATGCCGCTTTGGTGAGCACGCCTACACCGAGCCCAGAACGCTCTGCAGTTCCAGCTGGGAAGGCATGCCTGTCCCAAAGGCGCAGGCCCCTGGCGCTCCCCAGGTCTGCACAGAAGCTACACTCTCTCTGCTACAACCCCCAGCCTTTCTCAGCAGAAAGGGGGGTGGCAGCCAGCGGCCTGCTGTCTGCTTGTGCAGAATGTTCTGCTCGCTTCTTCTGACAGGCCCCGACTCATCCAAATCTAATAAATGTCACTCTCCATAAATCCCGTACTTGACTTTCTCAAATTAACTTGGGCTAATTATAAGCTTCGGTCCCCCAGACAAAGCCCCAATTCTGTGCCAGGCAGTGTCCTGGGCACATTTTGTGAATCATCGCATTTCATATTTGGGGAAAACCCTCGGACTCTTGAGTTACCCCGGTTTTACAGGTGAGCAGGCTGAGGTGAGCCAAGGTCAAACGGCCTGCCCAAAGGCACTCCGGGAAAGGCAGCAGAGCCGGGCCTCAAACCCCGGCCTCTCCCTGTCACTACCGCTGGGACCTGGCTGCAGCCAGATGGCCACCTTGTGGCTGTGTCCTCACAGGTCCGAGAGAGAAGGGTCTGCCCTCCCTCCCTTCTTATATTAAGGGCACTAATCCTTTCGTGGGGTCCCCCCTCCACAAGCTTGTCGAAACCTAATCACTCCCAAAGCCCTCACCTCCAAACACTGTCACACTGAGGGGGAGGACTTCTACATTTGAATTATGCTGGGGGACATGTTCCAGTCCGTAGCACCCCCACACTCCACCGTCCAGGTGACCACACGTCCTGGCGGCCTCGGGATGGCCACAGACTTCCCGGGGCCACCTGAGCAGCCTGGCCAGGGCCTGGGCGAGGCCCACTGCCCGTGGAGGTGCGATTACTGCCCTGACTGGTCTGTGTCCTCCGTGAGGGACGCCTGTTAGCTCCTCCCCCTGCTGCAAGGGCCCCAGGGCAACCAGCTGGCCTTGGGACTTCCAGCCCCACCGCATGGGCAGCCGTGGGCAGCGCCTCCCAGGGAGAGCTGACTGTCCCTGTCGCTGGTACCGGGGCAGACCTACCCAGCTGCAGGCTTTCCCTTGTCGGGACGACAGTGGAAGGGAAGAGGAAGAGGAAGAGGGTGACAGTCTAATCAGGAACAGGAAACACACCAGGAAGATACTCGACAATAATACCAAGGCAGTACATGGGCAAGTTCAAGTTTATACTGGCCCACAATCCCTTATCTGCAGTTCTGATATCCAAGGATTTTTCTTGGCTAAAAGTTTTTCTTTACTTATCTGGTGACAAAAAGTGACCTCAAGTGACTTGAGGCGACACGTGGTCTCTTCCCAGAAGAGCAGCCGCTTGCTGCGAGCCGTGAACAGGCTGTGGAGGGTCCGCCGTGCTCGGCAGCTGCGGGGGCTCGGGAGCAGAACGAGGACAAGCAGCAGCAGTCTGCAGCTGGCGACTCCAGAGCTGCACTTTCACGTGAGTGCGAGGCACCGGGCAATTGCTGTTGGGCTGGCTGGGTGTGGGGACAAGGTGGGCCTGCTGGGCTCGGGTGCCGCCTGCAGCCCCCAGGCGTGGCTTTCTTTGCAGGCTTGCTGAGCCTAACCCAGGGCTGTTTCCATGGACAACGGAGCTGCAGTAGCACCTCAGGGCACAGTCCTGCAAGCAGACTCCCAGGCAACCGAGCTTGGTTTGGGCTTCTTCCACAGCCTTTGCTCGGAGCCAGGCCCCGTGAGAACTCCGCAGGGCAGGAGAAACGGGCACTGCACGGGCCGGCAGCTGGGCTCCGAGAAGCAGCCCTGGTCTGGGACATGGGCTCCTCATCCCCACGGCAAAGCACGAGGGGACCCCAGAGCAGCACCTCCGGCCCTCGCCCCCTGAACTGAGACAGCGCAGGCGGGCTGGGGCCTGGGCTGCCTCGGTGGCCAGCCCCACTCACTCCCCTGAGCACAGGGGCCAAGGTGGCGCCACAGACCTGGAAGCCCCTGGGTCAGTCTGGCCCATGGGATGCCCACCAGGACGCTCAGCCTGCTTCCGCCATTGCCCCCAGTCCGCTGCCGGGCATGCCTACCTCCTTCTCGCCTCCCACCCACAGGGTCGAGCAACAGAGCACGCCCTCCAGGACCCCGGTGGGGACGAGGGATTGGCCTTACCTTTGGCAGAGAGCAGAGCGTGAGCTGGTCGAGGGAGCTGGGCTGTGGAGCGGAGCCTGGAGGGTGGAGCAGAGGCCCGCTGGAAGGCTGAGCTGGCTGAGGACAGACCAGAGACACCCCGGTCGGCAGAGAGCACCCCCATCGATGACAGCAGTGCCAGCAGACCCGCATCTGGCCAGGCCAGGCCCACGCAGGTGCTCCGGAGCCCAGGGCAGGGCCCTGCCGTCTGCCGCCTGAAAACCTTAGGCAGGCCCGACAGCCCCGGCTACCCTATCCATCCAAGGACACATGCTCCTGGACATCCTGAAACACCAGGAAAGGGAGTCAGGAAGGACGGACGTGCTGACCCCAACCTGTGACGCACACAGCTCCTGGCCCAGGGGAAGGACTTGGCCTCCTGGGGGAGGGGGGAATTTTCGGGACATTCCTGATTTAATGCTTCCCAACAGTGAAACGCACACCCTGAGATCTCACTCTCCTGCTTTTTCTCCTTCCAACCTGCCTGCCCTTCCTCTTGCCCTCGAAGGAGGATGCTCCCTGACCTTGGGTGTTCCCTTTCTGGATCTCCCCTAAACCCATGGCTTTGGCCGCCCTGCCCGCCGGCATCTCCCAGAAGCCTCTCCGAGCCCCAGACACGTAGAACCAAGGGACCAGCTCCCTTGGGTACTTGAAACTCGGCAGGTCCCAAATCAACACCAGGACTCTGCCCCAGCCCGCCTCCGCCGCCTCCTCCGCCAGAGGACACAGCTCTGCCTCCGTAGCACCTCGTGCGCACCCTTCGACTGGTCCCTCTGCCTTGAGGAGGAAACCCAACCTCTCGCTAAGCACTCAGTCTGACTTTTGCAGACTTTTCTAGCTGCTGTCCCCACCCTCTCCCGACGTGCTGGTGCTCCCTGCCACATGTGGTGGTGGCGGGTTGCATGTCGACACACCCGGGGATGCTCCCGGCTGTCAATGCTGAGACCAGAGTCCGGGAAGCTTACACACCCAGTCCTGGCCCCGAGGCCTCAGGCTCCCGTGCCCGCCCCTCCCCACCACCACCTGATGCCTCTGCAGCGACGGCTCCTGGCAGGCATGACTGTCCCGGCTTCTTTGCCTGGCTCACCCCGTCTGTCCCTCAGAAGTCCCCTGTCCGTGACCTATGTTCTAATCCACAGGCCGGGTCAGACGTGCCCCTGGAGCAGCTTCCCTGGGCCTCGAGGGGCAGGGACTGTGGGTGTCCTGCAGGCCACTCGCCACCGTGTGAGCTCCTCAAAGGCAGGGTTCGAGCCCTCAGAAGGCCCGCCGGGGGTGGGATGGTCAACCCCAAGTGTTAGCTTTGCAGGGACGCCTCCATCCAGCAAGGTGAGTCTGCCTGCTTCTTTCTCCAGGAGCTCTCCAAGCTGGGTCTGGGCAGTGACGCGCAGGTGGAGTTGCAGACGCTTCGGCTGCCCGTGGATTATAGGGAGGTGAAGCCGAGAGTCATGAGAATCTGGGAAGATCTCCAACTGCAAGTAAGTGATGGCTGAGAGCCAGCCAGAGAGCGGAGGTGGGGGAACCGAGGATGGGATGGAGTCCCAGGGCCTACAAACCGCTGGTCGCACGTCCTAGGGTTGATGGCTGAAGTGCGCCCCACCCCAGCGTCCCACCAGTATGGGCCTGGAGGATTTTATAAAGTGCTGGGCCTGTTTCTGAATGTTTCAGGGGAGATGCTGTGCAGGTTTGGGAAGAAGATGCTGGAGAGAGAGGAGGAAAAGAAACGGAAGCTTTGTTCCCAGCCAGGACTCAGAAGATAGGTACCACGTGACAGAGGCACCCTGGGGTTAGTTCCCAGCCACGCTCACTCGGGGAAGGTGGGCAAGGACTGCTAGGACCCGGAAGGGCTGTGGGAAGGCGTATCGGGGGAGGTGAGACTGTGGCCCATTGGGAAGGGCCCACCTGCATCACACCCAGCTGATTCCAACCAAACACCTGCTACATAAACAACTAGTATAGGCCCGGCTGGTGTGGCTCAGTGGATTGAGTGCTGGCCTGTGAACCAAAGGGTCACTGGTTCGATTCCCAGTCAGGGCACATGCCTGGGTCGTGGGCCAGGTGCCCAGTCAGGGGGCATGTGAGAGGCAACCACACATTGATGCTTCTCTCCCTCTCTTTCTCTCTCTCTTCCCCTGTCTCTAAAAATAAATAAATAAAAATAAGCTGGTTTAAATATCCCAAAAAATACCAACGAGCTGATGAGATTAACAAAACGTACACCTCCAAGCCACTACGACCATGCCCCAAAAGTTTTGATAAAAATACTTAGTAATTTTTTTCAAGAGGACAAATAACCAGCTCCAAAAATTCCTATGCTATTGTATTAACAACTCTCACCAGCTTCCTGTATTAGCAGTTCATTAAAGAGATAGGATTCCGTGGCACCAGCTGGAGCCACCCCCGCCCCGCCCACCCCCGAGAAAGGGGGAAAGGAATATTCTACCCTGTTTAAGAATATTTTGAAATATAAAAGCATTTAGACGCAAGGCCCTGGTCTTCCTTTCCGCTGTTTTCCAATCCAGCATATTAATTAGGGGAAGGGGGCGGGCGGTGCGGAGGCAGCAAGAAAGCGCATGCGCGCATGCCCAGTTGGGGTTTGCGAGGTTTTGCCGCGTTGCGCTCGCCCTTTGCCCCGCCCCCATGTGACAGCGGCATTTGATCGCGGGGTGCCTCCCCAGGGCAGTCCTTGCAGACCAGTCTGGGGGCTCCCCACCGTGGCACCCCGGGTCCCCTCTCCCGAAAGCCGCCGTCGGAGCGTTGATAGAGAATAGTTATAAAGGCGTATTTTGAGAATCACTAACATTCTGTGAATGCTTTATTTTTCTGGGTCGCCGCCGAAGTGGTGACTGAAGGATTCTGATGTAGCCCCAGACAGAGGTTCACTCACCTTGGTTTCTCCTCCCCACCAAAAAGAATGAATGAATGTAGACACGGATGAGAAGGTTCAGGAGTTAAAGGTGTCTGGGTCCGGTGTTTGGAAATCTGGCCCTTCCCCAGCTCGGCCGCTTGCTGGTTCTGCAACCCTGAGGCTAAGAGCCAGTCTCTCCCCAGCTTCTCCCAGTAACGTGTTCTTTCCAAGCCACGGGGACAAAACCTTCGTCTCCCCGGGTGGCTGTCGTCTCTCATGTTTTGGGAGTGCTACATCGCCACTTCTGCTTACCTGTCACTGAGGTTAGGGGCTGGGGCAAGGAGTAGTCTAGCGTGTCCTGCGGTTGCAGGTGCGTCTGCAATCACACCTACTACCTGTCTGCGCATCACGGAAATGCGTGCGCGGGCTCTTCTGCGCCCCTCGGTCATCTTCCTGGCTCCCCGCCAGCCTGCAGGGGGCGGGGGGGCGGGGGAGGGAGCCCTGCAGGTTGTCGCGCAGGAGCTGCCGGAGGAGGAGGAAGCCCCGCCTCCAAGCCTGGTTCCCCGGAAATCTCGGCCTCGGGGGTTCTAGCCCCGGAGAAGCATTTGGAGGAGGACTCCTTTAGGGAAAATCAAAGGGTTCCGGGCCCGTGTGGAGCGTTCGGCACAGCTTGGAGAGGCATTGAGGAAATTGCTTGTAAAACAGTTTACACGGAGGAAAACATCGTGAATTAGCCGAACAAAATCAGAGTCGTTTTATGGGCAGAAGGCGGGAGAAGAGTCTGAAAGGCAGACATTTCATAAGGGATTAACTAGCTCCGGTTATGGTTTTCATGACAATAAAATGCCAACCTTGTAATTTTTTTTTTCATCTTCAAAGATGCAGCAGGCCCGTGTGATTCTGCCCAGATCGCCGGGACCGCAGGCCCGGTCTGCAGAGCCGCACGAGGCGGGCTGATCCGTGACCAGCTGGCCATGGGGACGCACAGGCGTGGCCACCGCTCGGTGCCCGGGTCCTGGCCTCCAAGCTCCTGCATCCAGGTGCCGTGGGCAGCTTCCCAGCCACGGAGCCTCAAGTATTTGTTTTCCTTTTTCCTTTGTAACCTTTGTTTTTAATTGTGGTAAAACACATGTGACCTAAAATTGATGATTTTAACCATTTTTTAGTGTGCCGTGGCATTGCGTACCTTCACTGAGCGACCATCATCTCTAGAATTTTCTCATCTTCCCACACCGAAAGTGTGTACCGAGTAAATAGTATCTCCACCCCCCACCCTTCCTCCCGCCCTCACCATCATTCTACCGTCGGTCTCTAGGGACCTCATACAAATGGATTCACAGGGACTGTCCCTTGGTGACTGGCCTACCCCACTGGGCATGTCCTCAAGGTTCATTGACGCTGTAACACCCATGAGAATCTCTTTGCTTCTAAAGGCTGGATAGTACTTCATTGTAGGAATAGACCACGTGTTGCATGTCTGTTTATTTTGTGATGGACACGGGGTTGCTTCCACCTTCTGGTCAGTGTGGATGCTACAGTGCTCACCGGTGTGCACACGCCAGGTAGAGTCCCTGACCTCGGGTCACGTGGGCGAACGCCTAGCAGCGGAATCGCTGAACCCAGGTCGTTCTAGAGGTCATCTGTGAGGACGCACCATACTGTTTACCCTGGCGGCCACACCGTTTTATATTTGTACAGGTCGTGTTCGGTCTGAAAGCAAAGGCCAACAGCCAAGTTGGGCTTCTGCCCCCGTTTCCTCTTTCATTTCGCTTTCAGGACGCTGCGCTGCTCGCAGCGATGCGTGGCTTGCTCCTCGTCCCCTGGGGCCCGCCTGCCCCCGCGGAACCCCCTCGGCAGCGCGCTGTTTGAAGGAAAGGGTTGAGGGTGTCTCAGCGCTGCGGAGTTTCCTGTTCCCTCGGTGTGCTTCCCACTATCACTTTCCACTTACTCCTGTTTAAAACAAAATCATCGCCTCGTGCTTAGACTCCCTCATTCTAAGAAAAAGTGTCTGCCACCGAACCACGGCAGGAGCTCGCCAGGCCTCGCGTGTTCTCCCATCGGCCGGCTAGTGTGCTTGTGCGCCCGGAGGAGGCTTTACAAGACCCCCTTTGCGAGTGGGACTGGACCGTTTGACAGAGAAGAGATGAAGGTCAGGGTGTAGCACATCAAAGCCAGCAAGTGGGGGGTGGGGCGGCCTGGCGTGTGTAGGTCCGGCTGCGGGGGTTCCTGCGCAGAGCCTTTCGCGTGCGCAGGCAAACACGGCGGCCGGAGTCCCGACCCCCCCCGCCCCTCCCTTCCTCTAGCGCCCCTCCCAGCACGGCGGCTCTGTGCTCTTTCAGATTGCCTGGCACTACGCCATACACGTGTCACCGACTTTCAGATGTCATTTGGTTGGAAGGCCCAGGGTTCTCTGTTGATGAATGTGTCACTTCCCCCTCGGCGGCCGCCGAAATTCTTAAGGGAGAACCCGGGAGGGCCCACATCTGGGCTCTGTGGCCTGCCGCCCCCTGTGGGTGCAGACTGGGGCCTGTTTGGTAATGACCGTGCGGCAGTTCTAAGTCGGTGTGAAAACCGCAGCTTACCAGGCTGAGCCTGGGACTGGCCCTTTAATAGCTGGGGGGTCCTGGGCGTATCTGCTCCTGTGCTCACCTGTAAAACTGCTAAAACCCTCCCACTGCGGAGCTGTTACAGAGATCCGGGGAGGGAAGGCCTCTGTAAAAACACGCACCTTCCCGAGTACAGACAGAAACGGCCCTGCTGGACTCGGGGCCTTCAGAAGTGGCTCGGCAGGGAGAGAGGCTAGCACTTCCGGAGACCCAGCCCCTTCCTCCTCGGAAGAAGTCGCCCCCGAGGACAGGTGCGGCACGCAGCACCTGCCCACCTGGGCACGCGGGAGAGGCACGCTGGCCTCCTGCGTCCGCTCCGCCAGCAGCCGGGACACCCCCAGAGCCTTGGAAACAGCCAGCCTTTCGTCATCGGTCACCTAGTAACCGTCCCCCAGAGGCCGAGCACTTCACGACAGCGGTGAGCAAAATCCCAGGGTCAACACCTAGCTAATGAGTCCCTTCTTTTAGGGAGGCCTTTTGTTTTAGGCCCAAACACTTGTGAGGCTCACCGGGTCTTAGGCACGGCCTGTGATTCAGGCCTGCTGCGTCTGCCTTGCTACTGAGCCTCTTATCCAGCGGCCTGAGTCTGTGGCCGCCGCGTCATCTCCCGCGGTCAGAGTGTAGTGAACGATCGATCCGCTTGTCGTTTTGATGTGTCTAAGTATCTCTGGTCTGATTCTAGAACATTTCCATCGTGTTTCCTTTAAACACGCATGCACGTTTCCTACCGTGACCATCTCCCCTGGCAGAGGTAATGCTTCCTGGATCCTGTTCTTGGGGTAGGCCGGGGTCGGCAGCCTGCAAGGGGCTAACATTTCCCAGCAGGCCCCATCCTGCGCGCTTACTCGGCTCTCCCCCACCCCCCAACCCCCACCCATCCCTGCAGGGGCGCTGGCTGGGAGGCGCCAACAATGACATGGAAATGTGGAGGTCACATCCTTTGCTCCCGGGGTCATCCAGATCAAACCTGCCTTGGCCTGACTTTTGTTGGTGGATGGTGTAGGAAGTCTACGAATCAGTCAAAGCTGAAGTACAGCCCTGGCTGGGTGCTCAGTGGGTTAGAGCATCATCCCCATGTGCCGGGGTTGCAGGTTCAATCCCTGGTCAGTGCACCTGCAAGAATCAACCGATGAATGTGTAGATAAATGGAACGACAAATCGATGTTTCTCTCTCTGAAATCCATCAGGAAAACTTTTTTTAAAAACTGAAGTACAGATTTCTGTATTGTAGGTATTCAAATCTCCTTCTAGCCGATTTCATGGAGCGAGAAACAGAAGAGCTTCCCGCTTTCAGCAGCGACCTGCGCGCCGAGACGGTTCGGCTGTCAGAAACTGAGCAACACCTTCCCGTGGAGCACCTCCAAGTGACACGCGCGACACCCACGCCACACCCGGCTCAGCTTCCCTGCCTGGGAGGCACCGTGGGTCTTCCAGGGGACGGGGGACACAAGACCAGAGGCCAGAAATGCATACAGAATTCGTTTATTTAACTTAAACCATGTAGTACTTTAACTACTAGAAAAAAGCAGAGTAAGAGAAACTAAAGTCGCCTTAGCTTCAGCCATTCAAAATAGACAAAGTTTCTTTTTTTTTCGTAATGTAAAGAATCCAGAGTATATCGCAATAACAGGAATAAATTCTTACAACAGAATATACAAAAACATTTTGAAATTTTTTTTTCATCTACTGATTTTTTTTATATAAACAGAGGAAATTATTTTTTTAGGAATAAATTTATACACAGAAAGTCATCTTATGTAACAAATTGGCCTCGTTAATTACCGTATTTTTAAAATTTTTTTTAAAAAACGTTTTTAAACAAGAAAACTGAGAAAATGCATTATCTGCGATGCATCCATTCCATCGCGCCTTCTGGTTTGATTTTTCTTTTTTAAATTTCGTCCCAGAGGTAGACAAACTCTGGCAAACCTCTCACCGCAAACTCACTGGCTTAGAGAGCAACAGGTGTTCTTGCCAAGCATCCGTCCCACCTGTGGGTGTGTCTACACAACGCCCAACACCCAAATGCTGAGTTGAAAACAGAAAACAAATTGTTTCTGGAACTTTCTCCCATGCTGTGCAAAACACCCACATTTCCAACGATGGGGATGTTTGTGGAGGTGTGTAGACATGGCCCCTAATCCACTGGGAGCTACAGGAAATGGAATCAAACTTTAAAAAAAATTTTTTTTCTGTGTAGTTTTTTTTATTAAAAAGAACTTTGTATTAGAAAAATGTATCCTCTGTGTCGCCTTATAAACAAATAGGCTGTCTTTCTCGTTATAACAAAGCATTGATTATGATATGAGGCATGTAAGCAAGCAGTCTGCGTGCACCAGAATTACCACCGTCTGTGGTAAGTCCGCATGCGGCGGTCACTGCGAACGCCATTAGCTGGGCAGTCCGTCTTTCCATCTCGAGGCTTTGCACAGTGATTGTGGCGGCCACGCCGACCACACCACGTGCTTCAGACTGGGCACCCCTGGGCCGCAACACCTCTGCTCTTTCCTTGGCCAATGAGGTTCTCTCAGTCTATGAAAAGAGCTACGCTCCAAAGGGAAATGACCAGTATAAGATGATCCCCTTCCCAACCAGAGGGTTCTGGAAGACCAAGATACTGAAGATACAGAACTACTTCTTAAATCGTCATCATTCCTTTGTTATACTCTAGGGCACAAAGCTTAGGGGTGAAGAGGGTGAGCCTCAGCTTGGGACAGGGAAAAACCCTTTTTTTTTGGCATATTGTAAAGCTAGCTAGTAAACAGGTGTCCTAAAAAAAAATGGATCACAAACACACATTTGCACACACAGAGAAAAAAATGTGTCTTTAAATTATTTTCGGCGATTACAAACTACAAACATTTTATAAAATTATTCTATGCTCTTACAAAAATGCAATGAAACGTTGAATTAGTTCCTGTAAACCAGATCTTTGTCAACTGACTACCCGTAATCTACTGGACGTAGGAGCCCTATTGAAAATGCTAATGTGTGACTAATTCAAACAATGTTTACCAGAAAGATGCAGACACTTACAAACGTGGCCGTACCGATGAGTGATCGCGTTCTTGCAGAAACAAAAGAAAACGAAACCCTAAAGCCACGCCCCAGAAGTGACCACCGGCGAGTGCGATGCAGTTTGTGTCCTTGAAAAATTTGTCTTAACTCCACAATAACGGTTTCCAATCTAGAATGTTAGGTTTATGGGTTGGAACCAAATGCCCGCGGATGACTCTGGAGCCTTGATGTGGTCTGATAACCTTCAAGAAACCATCGAGTTCAAAACCTGCCCCCCTCCCACCTGCCTTCAAACCCTGTCCCCTTCAGCTCGCAAGTCTTCCCTTCCCACCACATCAAGACCCCCGTCAGAATGGTTCCTACCGCCTGATCGTTCCACTATCAAGGCGTGTTCATCTGCTTTTTTTCCCCTAAATGACCAACTAGTCATCTGAGCTGGAGGCCAGACACGAAACCCTCTGGCCTATCCAAGCTCTGTATCTTCAGCATCTCTGGCAACAGAGAGGTTCAATCTAAACAACATCCTTTCTGGAAGCTCTCGCTTGTACCAACTATGTCAGAGGAAGAAAGTCTGACTTTGATCACTGGTTCTTAACGAGTGGATCTCTGGTCCATGTCTCCCAATGCTGCTGAGCCCAAGAAATGAAAAGACAGACAACAAACACAAAAGTAACATTAACAAGAGAACAAACCCCAAACCTTAAATGCATTACTGGGTCTGCTAAAACTGGAGGGCAGGGCATGGAGGGTCGCTGTCAGCTGCAAGGGGCCCATGTTTTGGGAAGGAGGCGCCTTTGACACTCGTCTGGCCACCCCGGGAGGACCTATCAGTGACAGCTGAGGACCTTGGACCGAGCACCCTAGCCACCTCGACCACTGAACTCGTGTGGCCTCGCCACCGGCGCGGCCAGCGTCATGGGCAGCCACCTGCCAGCGGAGGCGGGCTGCTGAGAAAGAGGCTGCGGTGGAACCCACTGGCCTCGGATTGGCATCGTACTTGGCTCGTCAATCTGTTACCCCAACCAACACACACAACACAGTTCATGCCAAGCATTCTGCCGTTGGGTAGTTCCACAATAACCACTTTTCCATTTCACCGAGCCACTTCTCCTACCACTGACACGTCGTTCCGACTCACGGAACAGGCTGGGAGGAGAGGCCGGTGTTGACCGTGAACCCCATCTTCTGTCTTCCGAGGAGGAAGTTTATTCCAACTTCATGTCAAACGTCACGACAGCCGTCAAGGAGACCTGGGTGGTCTGGGTCTCCGCCGGCTGAAGTTCAGCAACGTCTCCAGAACACACGGGCGCCCGCTGCCTCGGGAAAGGGCTGGGCGTGAGGATGTGTTGACGCTCACACCCACGCAGCGACGCGCCTCGGTGGTTCAGTCACTTCCAGCAGTGGGAGCTGCTGTCAGGAGGAGGTTGCATGGAAAATGCCACGACTCAGCTCGATTAAGCATACAAAAGAGAAAAATCCACAAGCGGCGGGGAAATCAGCACAAAATCAGGCTAGAACTGTGGACAGATGACGGCTTGGTAGAGTCCGGGTGGGTGGTTTGGTCCAGTAGAACGACTGCCCCATCATCACGCAAGCCAACTTTGCGCTTCCATTTCCGTGTTTCTGAAGCATCTCTTACGATGGGCACGACACTGGTAGTGTTTGCTTTCTACTTAAAGGAAAACCACCTACATCAGACAAGAACAGAAGGACACCAACAACTCGGACAGTTGAAATGAAACCCTTATAAACCAGCTGAATGATCTGTAGAAGTCCAGTTGTGGAAAACCGGAGGGTATGTGCAAAAGAGGAGAGAGGCCACTATTCCAAGGGGTCGCCTACAGCGCGGAGGAAGAGAGCCCTGATCAAGCAGTGTTTCTCAATGACCGTGAGATCCCAGGGGACTTGGGAGAGGAGAGGCGTGCTCTTGCGGGAGAGGGGAGGTGCCCCTGAGCGTAGCTGCAGTACCAGAACTTTCAGGGAGCCGACCGCACCGTGGAAGGCCCCAGAGCATTGCTCAGATCAAACCACCAGCTGTCGGAATAGGGGAATGCGCCGTCCACCCCCGTGAGCAGCAGGACAGAGGGACAGAGGTGCCCCAGAAGGAGGCATGGCACCGACCACTGCCCCTCTAGCCCGAAGGTTTGGTACATCTTTGCTTTCCCCTGGGAGAGAGGAGGACATGAGGGTGGAGTGGAGAGTTGGGCCTGGGGAGGGGAAGGGGACTTTTCTCTGCCGTGCATTCTGGGAGGGACCGGCTGGGAGGTCAGCAGCCCAGCGGGAGTGCCGAGGCGGCTGCAGCATTGAGCACAGGCAGCGCGGGGGGAAAGCGCATCCCCACCCGGCGCAGGCCACACCCGGGGCTGCACTCGAGGTGGCGCCCCGTGGTGCAAACACACACACTGCGCCTTTACAGGTGGGATGCCCACAGACAGACTGCCCGCCCCTCGGCACCTCCTGCCCACAGAGCCCGGGAAACCACTGCTCCTCCAGGGCCAGACCCTGTGCTTCGGTCTGCACAGCGCAGTTGGTTTCCGACACAGCCGGCTCTGCCGCTCCCCTCACCTCCCAGCCGGGGTGGGGGCGCCGGGCCCGGGAGGAGGGACATCCTGACACCTCACAACCTCGTTAGCGAACCGAGTTAGAAGAAGAAGAAGAAAAGCAACGGCAAGTAAGACATGTCAGGAAAAGGCAAGCTGTAGGAAACGAGTGGAGAGGGGAGAAGGGGTGGCTGCGACCCCGGAGTACAGCCTGGCCCGGCCCTGCGGCACTGGCGTGTGGCCTGTGGCATGTGGCCTGTGGGTGCATGAGGTTACCAGTGTCAACAGCATATTGCCAGGTGCTGAGAAATGCGAGATGTACTCTTTTTTTTTTGTATATCCACGTATAAAAAATAAGAGTGAGGTAGATAAATGCTTGAAAGAAAAATCCCAAAAAAAGAAAAACTGTCCCGTCTAACACAGACATGCACACACACAGAAAAAAAAAAACCCTTTTGTCAGTATTTAAATTCCTAAGGGGGCTTCTCTACAGCGATTAAAACTAGAATCCGAAAATCAATGAAAACTCCTGTTATACCTTCCTGATGAACTTTTGTCTTTTTCTCAGCTTTTTAAAGGGAAAAAGTGGGGGGCGGAGGCTAGAGAAAATACTGGCACGGAAACTGCCAACCAGCAGACGAAGCACTAAGGAACTTGCTTTCTCTGTTTACTCTCCAGTCCCAACTAGCAATCATCACATTGGAGCTTTGTTCCTACTTGTCATTGAAATGTTTCCATCCCAGAAGCAACGCAGTGCTGTCATCACTCCGGTGAGAAGGGCCGGGAAATGAAACAAAGGACCCCCAGGCCCCAAGGAGTTGGATTCCTGGCCCCGGGGGAGGCCGCCAGCGCCAGAGCCCTGGTTCCCGGGGAGGGAGCTCAGGCTCCTGGGCCACTGCGCCTCAGGCACTGCCCCAGCAGGCCTGGCGGTGGGCGAGCTGACACCCAAGGGTGCCGCCCCCGCGCCCCCCACTCCCTGCCTGTGCCAGGGAGGCCTCTGGGGAGTTTCCGGTTCCTCCAAGGACAGGTCGGCCTGGAAGGCGGTGGCGGAAGGCCGAGGAAGGGGCCGCTGGACCATGCTCCGCTGCACCCTCGGACTCAGCAGCTGTTTTTCCTAGGATGGAAAGATTAAATATCTACTTCAAAGCAAAAAAAAAAAAAAAGAAACAAGTCCAAACGCCTAGGCTCTGCAGTTCGAACTTCTGTTGTACCCAAGAGTTAAAAAAATAGATATATGTGTCACAACCAAAACGAAGGCCGGGGTGGGCGCGGGGGGGGGAGAGAAAGGGGGCTGCGCCACAACGGTGACCGCACACGCTGAGCGAGGACGTGCTAAGGTGAACCTCTGCTGTCTGACCTGAGTCTGTCTCACGTCTTGCGCGGTAGCCAATTCCAACGCGCTGAGCACTCCAACCGAGCTGAGCGAGGGCGGGCTGAGAGAGGGACCCCTCTCCGCCCCCGCCCCCGCCCCTCGCCGGCCTCGGACCCACCGAGACTGCCGGGTCCGAAGAGAACTAACGGGGCGGGGGAGCCGGGAGGGGGAGGGTGGATTTATCCAAAGGCATCCAGCAGTTCATGGCGAATCAGGTTCCGGAAGTGTCGATTACCGGGAGAAGAGGAAGAGAGTCACGCAGTCTAGTACAAAGCGTAAGAAGTTTCTTGGAGTGAGCAGAGAGGGGAGAGGGGTAGACCTGAAGATTTTCATAGAGTAAATCCACAAAGATAAAGAACAAGAAAAAAAAAATAGCAGCTTTCTTTGTTTCTGTACAGACGTATAGATGAATATCTGAACCGTAAAAAAGTTACAAAAGTGACATTAAAGACGATGTGTATGCAAATGTTTCGCGGTCTAACATAGAACTGGCAGAGCCGCGAAGAAGTCCTAGTAACAGAGAAAATGTCGACAAAGCTCAGAACGCTGGGGTCCATGTACCGCTTTTCTTCTCACGGTCGTGGTGCTGTTGGAATTGCTTTCCTCGCAAACCTGCATGAACAGTTGGGCTCAGTCCCTGGAAACCCCTTCTAATCTGTGTCCTTAGGGGGCGGGGGGGGGGGGGAGCTGGGGCTGGAGGAGCCAGGAGACTGGCACGTGGGTGACCTTTGCTCCAGGCCCGTGTGCCCGGCTCTCCCTCGAGGGGGCGGGTTTGCCTCAGCATCCCTGGCACCAGAAGGTGGGGGCGGGGAGGTAGAGGGGGAAGCCAGGGGGGGCTCCTCCCCATCCTCTCTGACAGCAAGCCCCCGTCTGTCCAGTTCCCCCAAATAATAACCTGCGTGGACGTGAGACTTCAAAAGGACACCGGGGGGGACGGTGAGCTGCGGGGCTGCACCAGCGTGGCTCTCCCGGGAGTGCCCGGGGACCGTGCTCACCCCGTGCCTCTGGAGACCAGAAAGCAAGCGCAGGGGGCGTGCGGGACCGCGTCCCGGGTTTTGGCAGAATTTGGCAGCGTTAACATGGTGACAACCTTGGGTGAAGGATGGCCCTTGGTAAAGTTCAGGTGTTCCTAAAAAGGTTCAAGATCGAGTTAAAAAAAATGCCATCGCGACGTGTTTTGTTTTTTTTTATATATATAAAGACCTACGGTGACAGGCAGGTGTGTACGGGAGCAAGAAGGGACCACGGGGAGGGACAGCCATTGTCCTCACTCTGATAAAAAGGGCTGGGCTGGTGGCAAATGCTTTTTCCATTATGAAGCACAGAGAGGAAGAAAGAGGACAGAGAGAGAGATGAGATGAGAGAGAGAGAGAGAGAGAGATGAGAGAGACAGGGAAAAGTGAGGAGACTCGATTCTCAAGTGTTCTGTTGCTATTAAGTGTTGTCATTAAGGTTCTTAAAGGCCCGTGTCAGTTAAGGGTTTGGGTAGGGAAATAAAAAGCGGCTTGCATATTGAAAAAAGGAACATCCCAAGTGTGTTTACTGCAGAGAAGCCGTCTCCCGTGGGCAGCGTGGCTGTTCTGAAGATCCACTGAGGTACAGGAGGCTGTGGACAGATGGTTAGACCCCGCCCCCCACCCGCCCGCCGCACACGCGCATGCGCGCGGCGCCCTCTGCCGGGACGCGGTCCCGCATCAGCAGGTGGACGACTGGGGCAGGGGCAGGGGCCTCTCGTTCTTGCGGCCGCCGTTCATGTGCGCGTAAGGCTGCCTCTCGTCGAAGCTGGCCCGCAGCACCAGCACGCCGGGGCCCGGGCCGTTCTCGGCCTTGTGTCCTGAGTATCTGTCGGGCAGCGGCAGGGAGCACGCGGAGGCCGAGGGGTCCAGCGGCACGCTCTCCATGATGTCCGGCTCCAGGTCCAGCTCCTCGGTGTCGGGCGGCTTGTTCTCGTCGCTATAGTAGAAGGACACCTCCTGGAAGCCGGGCTCCAACTCGTCTTTAATGCTGCCGATGATCTCCAGGAAGGAGGGCCTCATCTTGGGGTTGTACTGCCAGCACATGCGCATGAGCTCAAACCTGCGGGCAGACGGACGGGTGCACATGGGCGCCCCCGCCAGGCTGCCTCTGCCTTGCCATCGGGGTGGCCCAGGAGCCCTCTGCTTCCCCGGGCCTCTCCCACCACTGCATTCCCGCCACCCAGGGCCCGCCCCTGTGTAGTTCCCAAACTCTGCTTTCCTGAGGGGGCCGCACACAAGCGCACAGGGTCTGTTAGCATGCGTTGCCATTATTGGTGACAGCACTAATGGCAAACACAAGCCGGCGTTGTGCGGGAGCACGTCTGGCAGCCACTGATGCAACAGCCTTTCCAGACCTGCAACGCAGGAGACCTCCGGCTCCGCACTAACAGGGCTGAGGAGGGGTCGCAGCTTTTGAGACAGGGATTGCTCTTCCGGGCCTGCCTGGGCTGTTTCTCTGCTGCCTCCGTGTGGCAGGGGACCACTGGGGCGGGGAACCAGCGAACAGCGTGAGGAGGCAGGGCCACCACGCCACAGGAACGCACGTGGTGCGTTTCTGGCACCAGGCAGAGGCTGCGTACTGAGCCGGAGGAGACCCCACCTAGCCGGCAGGGCAGGGGGAGGCGGAGCTCAGGGCCCTGCGCGAGCCACAGCAGCAGAGGACACGGTGTGAAGCCACAGCTGCGCCTGGGGTTCACAGGCTGGGCCGCCCTGGCACCTGGACCGTGGACCTCCATGAAGCCCTCAGTCACATGGGCCCCAGGAAATCATTCGTCCTAGCAAAGGGCTTGAGACCCCCCAGAGACCTGGAAGCATGCCGCTGGGGTGCAGCCAGCCGCCCTGACCCAGAAGAGGCTTCCACGAGGGTTCAGAACAGCTGCCGGCCGAGGCCCTGTTGCTGAGTAACAGGAATGCAGAGGGGCCCGCTGAGTGGACCTTTGGAGCATACAGGAGGGCGGTGAGCAAGGGCGCCCCTGCTGGCCACAGGGCGCGGGGCAGGCTGCGGTTCTGGGGCGGGCCCTTTCTCACCTGAGCTTGAGAGCAAAGTGCCTTCCCTTTCACTTCTGTTCTCAGTGGATCTGTTTTGTTTGTTTGTTTTTTAAACTTCTGGTTAACGAGATGCTTTTCAACAAAAATGGCCAATGGCAGCGCCTCATGTCTAGAAAGGCCAAAGCACCCCAAGTTGGCTCCAGCCATCAGTCAGGGCGGCCGCTTGCCCAATGGACCACCTTGCTTACTCGAGGCCCCAGGGAAAGTTCCAGGGGGAGGAGCCGAGGGACGCACACCCCAGCCCGCACAGAGAAAGGCCCTAGCCGACAGGGCTGCCACCTTGAAAGGCTCGGGAGAAAGGCGTCAGGTCAAGCCAGATGCCGAGGTCGTGACCCTGAGGGGCAGGGGTGGCAGCGAGGCTGCTGCCGGCTCTGCTCTGCTGCCGGTTTCAGTAAACCGAGTCTGGCTGCGGCAGACGCACGCTCACGTCTTCACAATGTCCGAGGCTGCTCTGGAGCAAGTGGAGCAGTCAGAACAGGGACTGTGTGGCCTTCGAGCCCCACATGTGGATGGTGTGGCCCTTTACTCGTAAAGCTGCCCCCACCCCCCAGCTCCGGTGGAAAGTGCCATGACCTGCAGAGTGACTCAGCCGCCCCCTGCACCCAATGACCCACATCCAGCCAGCACAGTGGCCGCGTGAGGGGCCTCAGCAGCTCTCACTGGGGTCTGGCAGCAAACCTGAGCTAGAAGCAGGTGCACCGGAAAAAACCCCCGTTTTGGAGACGAGAAGCAGAAGTCCCAAGGGATTAAATCTTTGGTGCAAGGTCCCCACACCAGGAGGGTGGAGCAGGGGTGGACCCTCTGGGCAGGAGTGTGGCTGCACTAAAGGCCACCTGCCTCCAAAGGAGGAACTTCCTCTCCACCTGAACAGAGAACCCACGCCCCACCAGGAGACACCCCTGTCCTGTGTCACCCCAGAATCACAGGTGCCATGGGGGGTTGCAGTGATAAACTGGCAGCTCCCTCTTCTCATGTCCCCAGCACTTCCTAAAAAAAGGACCCCCCCCACACACACACACAATACATGAAACCCATCTATGGCGCGGCTGCGAAGGCCTCTCGACTGGCTGACTTCCCCTAAAGAGCAGCGCAGCCAGGGCCGAGGACACGGGACGTGCCCTGGCTCTGCGCCCCTGTGGCCCGGGGCTGAGGCGGTGCCACCGGCAGGGGTGCACTCTTTGTGACCTTAGCACACACAGGCCACGTGAGGCCACTTTCCAACCACCCCGGAGTCCCAGCCCTTCCAGGGCGGCCCATAAAAGGCAGTCTTTCTTTTTATGGAAGAGTGAACTCTGTGGGATCTGAGACCTTGTTTACTCTGCTTCCCCAAGAAAACTTTCCAGTAGGTTCTAGGATTTATGAGCTGATAAAACTCCTCTTCAGAAGAGCACATTTTTCACACTAGTCAGCTCTGGTGAGCAGAAGCATCCTTCACTGAGCTCCCCCCACCCCATTTGGGGTGTGCACAGCCCTGCACCCAGGTCGGGACAGGGCCAAATGGAGCTGCCACCCTGCGAGACGCAGCTGCCCACGGACACGCGGGAGCCCGCAGGCTGGAGGAGGACTGCGCTGCCTGCTCCCTCCTGTACACCACATCCCTCACCTCCCCACCCTGCTGTGGGCCGGCAGGCGGTGGTCACAGCCAAGGTGTGCACTGCAGCCCCAAGGCCCAGCGTCAGCTCAGCCTCCTCTAAGTGCTGAGCGACCATCACAGAGGCTCAGTGCTCCCTCTGCCACCTCCTCCTGGCAGCCCCAAACCACCAGGATTGTCTTATGAACCACCTCTCAGCCAGGAGGAGCAGTGGGACAGCAAGGCCCACCTGGCCCCTTACCCACGTGCTCTGCTTTTGGGTGGAGATCAAGCACAGGGCCTGCGTTCCACAGGAAAGCCCGTCACAAGGCCACCTGGGCCGGAGCCGCCCCCCCGACTGTTTGACAAGACTACCAGCAAAAACCAGGCATGGCCGCTCCAAGCAGCCAGCAGTCAGCACATGCCCAGAGGGGCTCAGGGATGCTTGTGGCCTGAGTATGGTGACCTGAGCCCAAGAGAAGGCTAAGGGTGACCTTTGTCATCAATTTAAAATACAGAATCAGCCCTGGCTGGAGTAGCTCAGTGGACTGAATACTGGTCTGCAAACCAAAGGGTCACTGGTTCGATTCCCAGTCAGGGCTAATGCCTGGATTGTGGGCCAAGTCCCCAGTAGGGGGCGTGCAAGTGGCAACCACACACTGTTTGTCTCCTTCTCTTTCCCTCTCTCTAAAAATAAGTAAATAAAATAATAAATAAATAAATAAATAAATAAATAAAGGAATAGCCCATAGAATAGCCAGCAAGCCACAAGACGAATCTGGCCACATGCCGCCTGCTAAGTGAACACACACTGAGGCCTGGACCCTGGAGGCCTGGACTGGGGGCCTGCCTCTCAGCCCGACCTGACGGGCTGCAGCTTCACCTACTCACAGGCATCACCAGGCAGCTGCCGCATCTTCCTGACACTGAGCTGGGGCCACCAGCAGCCACTGTGCGCGCCTCACCCATGTCACCCTCCGGGTGCCTGTTCAAATGGCCGGGACCCAGAAGACAAGTGGTTGTTCTCCCCACAGACGCCCAGCAGGGCTCTCAGGCAATTCCCAAGGGCTCGGTGACGCCCTGTCCTCTGGAAGAAACAGGAGTCCCTTCTTTTCTCCCCTAACAAGAGAGCTTGTCTCCCACAGCCCTCTTCCTCACCTGAGCTCATCAATGCACTCCCGAGGGCGACACAGACACTCCGTGCGACCAACTCGCCTCCTTTCGTTTTGCCCTAGACTCAGAAGGGGCAGAAGTCTGCCGAGGGGTTCAGGATGGCAAGCGGACATGCCCCCCGACTTAAACCGAGTTCCTATCCGAGAGCGACCACTGCACGCCAATTCCCTCGTCCCTCGGGGGTGGGAACAGGAAGTGTGCCGCCATTCCCACGGCAGGTGGGCTGCTTCCCGGGCAGGTTAAATTCACAGGAAACTGCAGGCACCTGGAGCCGGATCCACTTGAGGAGGCCCCATAAGCTTCTCAGAGACAAACTTTGCCCCAAGTCCAAGAGCAAGCTTAAACACAGCCTTTCTCCTCCCACCACCCCCTACCCACGCGAATGCCTCTAGGTTCACGCCTGCTTCCTGGGACCCTTCGTGCGCTTGCTGGAACACCCCCCGTTCCAGCACTGACCTCCGCTGGGCCCCACACACTTCCACGCACATTCAGTGGGCAGCGATCTTTCCTCATGCTCCGTTACTAATACTTCTCCTCCGAATGAAGGGTTTGTTTTTTTTTTTAGCTGGGCTAACAAGAAGGCAGCAACCACGTGCTTCAAAGTGCAAAGCAGTCAGCCTGTGGGGAACTGGGAGTGGGCGGGTGTGCAACCAGCTTCCACGACCCCAGGGGCCTCACCTCCTGGTGGTCACACCCCATGTGATCTCCCCCCAGGCCGTGGAGCCCATGTATCAGCAGGTGACGAACTGTGGAGGGTGACTTCGAGGACAGGCCACGGCGCACCCTGTGGGATCTGCCCTGCTGTGGGATCCTGCACCCTCGCCCGGGGTAGGCGAGCTGTGGGGCAGCGGGCCAAGCTGGGCCTGCCCTCTGATCTTGCAAGGCCCTCGAGCTAAGAATGGTTTTTATACTTGCAGCTGGTTGAAAAAACAATCAAAATAAGAATAATATTTTGGGACATGAAAATTATGTGAAAGTCAAATGTCAGAATCCAAAGATAAAGTTTTATGGGCACACAGCCACGCTCGCTCACGTGAAGTCTGTGGCAGCTTTCGCAACCAAGACTGGCTGGGCCCATGGGGCTGAGCACAGTGGCACTCGGTGCTTTTAGAGAAAGAGTTGGCTGAGCCCTGCTCCAGAGGCCAGCTGCACAGCCTGCTCCAGGGACACTGGAGCTGAATCACAGAGAAGCTCACGCCTCTCACGGTGCTCAGCCACATGAGTGCTTCACCTTGGAGGTGGACCCCACGCCCCAGCCTTCTGGCCAAGTGGCTCCTGGATGCCCAGCCCTCAGAGACTGTGACATAGCAAATGCTGATGGTTGTCTCAAGCCGTTAGGTTTTAGGTAATGCTACAATGCAACAAACAACTCATTCAGGTGGGGAGAGAGAATTCCCACGCTGGGCAAGAGAACGCACTGACTGGACGCTGTCCTGGGAAGCTCCTTGGTGAGGGGTCCTGGAAACCAGGGCCCCCTGATACACTGCCCTCGGTGGAGTGGAGCCCCTGCCCCTGGTGGTCCCACCTGCAGCCCACGCCTAGGCCCATGCTCACTCGGAGGATGAGTGGGTCTCCTGTCCCCTGCACATACACATACACATGTGCACACTGATACAAGGGTACCGCCCCCACACTTAGCTGTACCTGTCCTGAAAATCACTTTTGGAAAACTCCTGAATTAGGGTCAAGGTCCTAATGAGAGCCTACCTTGTACCTGTGGGGTCCAGAGGGATCTCTGAGACCCACCTCCACTCGAATATTGACCGCAAGTCCCGAGCTCCCCGCCTACACCTACCGCCCAGCCACAGGCACCTGCACCCACACCTGCCGTGACCCGTTCCAGCAAAGACACCGGGGCCCTCCCGCCTTCAGCAGCTCCTGCCTCCGCCAGCAGAGGGGCTTCTCCTACAAACCCAGCCGTGAGGCTTGCCCACCACCACCTGCCCATGACCCCAGGGTACGCACAGCATGTCGGGGCAGTTGTCCGGCTTGTCCAGAAGGCCGCCCTCCATGACGAAGCGCAGGACTTGCTCGTTGGACAAGCCCTGGTACGGCTGCTCGGCCAGCGTGGCGATCTCCCAGAGGACAACCCCGAAGGACCTACGGGGAGGAGAGAGGCATGAGCCTCGGCAAAGAGGCACAGAGCCGGGTTGCCCCCCGTCCAGCACCCTCCCCCCGCCCAGGCGGGCCCCGAGAAGTGGCCCCACGGCGGCGACCGAGCACGCGGCGGATGGCGTGCTGGGCACTGCGCTAAGTGCAGACCGCCTGTCCCGTTTGCTGGCGCCATTTCCCTGCAGAGTAAGTGTGGCCGTGGTCGCAGAGCTGAGGACATGCAAGTGGAGGGAGTTTCAGGGGCCCTGGAACTTGAACCCCAAGCAAGCCAAGGTGGGGCCTGACCCCAGCCATCTATCTGGTAGGGCGGTCTCCAAACACGCTTTTCTAAAATAATCGAACGTGGATCCCCAGGCCCTGCCAGGACGGCGAGTCAGCGCCTCAAACGTGACCAGGGGCGACCCCGCTGTCCGACAGGCTCCCTGCCAGGGAGACCTCCACCCAGAGGCTCTCAGTGAGGGCTGCACGATAGAACTGGGGGTTTCAAATCTGCTGCCTGGGCCCCCGACTGGAGTTCTGATTTCACTGGTTCAGGGTCAAGGTTAGGGTCGGGGCCAGGCCTTGGGGTGTCGGAAAGCTCAATAGGGATCTCGCAGGCCTGGCGGGGCCAGGGAGAGAGGAAGCCCACCCCCACTGCCCCCGGGAGCTGGGGAGCTGCGGGCCTGTCACAGCTCATTTGTGCAGCTGGGAGCCCAGGAGGGCGCCGCTGGCCGGGCCCGGGAGGTCACAGGTGAGAAGGAGTCTTTAGGACACACTCGAGCTGCCGGAAAGGGGGCTGTGGAGGAAGCCAGTCAGCAGGAGGGGCAGCGGGCGACCCCGCCCTGCACGCAGCCCCGCCTGGCGGTTCAGAAGGCCCGACTACTGGAAAGCACATCAGTAGAGAGAACACGGGTCACCCGCCAAACCCAGGGACCGGCCCGGCACACGTCGCCACCTCTCCGTCAAAGCACCATGCCCAGCGCTTCGGTGTGACAGTAAGGAGAGAACCATCTGGGGCAGGCCGGCTGCAAACCAGACGACCTCCTCCTCGCGCTCAGGAAGCTAGCGCACCTTGCCGGGGCCCGTTCAAATGCTGGTCCCAATCTGCACCTGTCTCCGCAGTAAGACCCGAGGCCCCTGAGCTGTGGAAGGTTTGAGAGCTTAACAAAAAGCCACACAGGCCACTATTTAAACGTCTCCTCTATGCGGTCACCCAGAGGGCTGGGGCAGACACCGGCCATTTCTGTGACGCATCTGCAACGGGCCCGGCGCAGGGGCGGCCGAGAACCCAGCCGACGTGCCAGGAGGCAGGTGCGCCAGGGCCCTCGAGTGCCAAAGACCTCGGCTGAGTCTCAGACCCTGACCGCCTGGCCACAGTGTCCCCGAGGAACTGCCACACTCAGTGTAACACTGAGAGGCCCCCGCACCCTCCGTGGGCGAGTTTTCTCTGCACCCCTTTCTCTCCATCCCGTGCCTGGGCCCACAACACGGGCGCCCGCTGAACGAGGACACTCAGCAGCGGGAGCGGCAGGGAAACGCATCAGGGCTCGTAAGCTCCGGGTCTACGCAGAGCAGTGGCTGCAACCTGAAGTTCTAAGTGAGCCTCCCCACTCCCCCCACCACCCCCCGTGTATTTATCGTGGAAGATAACAGCAGAGAAGGCAGGCGGGGGCAAGCCGAGAGGTGCGGTTTGCTGGCACCTCCGGCTCCGGAGCGGAGGGCTCCAAGCCACGTCGTGAGCAGCTAAGAACTGAAAGACACGGGGGTCCTGCAGAGGTTTTCACTGCCACAAGGGCCACCTGTGCTCAGCCAGCCCACGGACAACTGGGAGACCTCAGCGATGGACTGCGGCCCGCATAACACTCAGCCAAAGCAGGAAACGGGTGACAGGGAGCAGGAAACGGGAGGAAAATCACGCCACGGAGACCGAGCCAGCGGGATCTGTGGAGACTGGTGTGTGGAGGGGGGCCCCGAGTGCCAGGGAGCCTGTCTCATACCAGACGTCGGAGTGAGTGGTGAACACGCCATCCTTGAGGGACTCGGGGGACATCCAGCGCACGGGCAGAAGGCCCTTCCCTCCTTTCCGGTAATAGTCAGTCTCGTAGATGTCTCTCGTCATGCCGAAATCTGCGGGTAGGCGGAAGGCACCGGAGTTAGTCTGTTCGAGCAGCTCTCGGTGGGGCGGGGGGGGGGGGGCCCACAGCCTCGTCCAGGGTGCAGAACTCTTAAAGGGGCCAAGAGCCCCTGCAGCCCCACCGGCAGCAGCCGTGGGAGCTGCGTTGATTCCCCACGTGACAAGCGACTACCGGGAGACCTCTGCTCCGAAACACACTGAGGGTCTGGTTCTTTGGAAAGTGGATCCCTTGTTGCACTTCAAATGACTGGCAGCTAACGAACCCTCAAGTTCCGGCATGTGTCCAGAGAACGCGTCCTGCGTGGACCAGGGGTCGCTCACAACACGTGCCTTACCCCTAAGGAACAGCAGGGGCGCACTGACTCTTAGTCACCTGACAGCGCCCCCCAGTTGCCGCAGGAAAAGGGCCTCCTTCACCGTCTGATACGGCAGAAAGCCCCGAGTTCCCAGCCACGGTGGGAAAAGAACCCGGCGCGGCTCCTCAGGGACGCTATTTACTAGGCCTCTGGCGCCGTTACTCAATCACGGTTCTCAGCAGGTTCCTCCCACTCAGTTTTAGAAATTTCCCCCCGTTTGCCACGTCTCTAGAAGATGTCACGTAATTATGTTTGATGGCACGCTTGCTTTAGAATCCTTAAACTATTACTCCTTTGTCAGACCGATCTCCCGCTCGGAGGTGTAACCTTTCCGCACAGCGGCTGTTCCGCGCTCCCGCCCAGGAGACGGGGCTGCGCTCCTTTGGAGAAGGCGCCTTCGTGGCCCTGACTCGGCCACAGCAAGGAAAGGCCACGGACCGAAGCCAGTTCCTTGGACTGATGTCACCAACATCGTTTACTGGTCACTCTGCCTCTGATACCACGGTCAGATTTGGGGTCCATGGGGCAGCGGGCGCTGGGAGCAAAGATTTGGGCCCCGGTGAAGGACCGAAATGAAAGCCTCATCTCAGAGTTAATGCAGACACATGCAAACCGGGATGTGCCTTTATCTGTTCAAAACCGGGGGGGCGGTGGGGGGGCGGAAAAGAAAGAAAGAAATCAAGGACATACACTGTCTTCCAATACAAAAGATTCATTGCAGATTTTTGGAAGGAAAACCACACGTGCAAAGAAAGTATCACCATAAATATGCCGCGTGGTTGAAACGCAAATATGGTCCCTGGCGACTTGGACCTCAAAGGGCAAGTGACACCGTGGCCCGCCCACTCGCAGCAGCGGAGAAAGGAAGGAGAACGCCCCCCGCCCCCCACACACACAGGCACCAGGCAGGGGGTGGGGAGGGGACGCCGACAGGGAGAACCTGGGCACGTGGTCCCTCACCGACCCCGCCACCTCCTGGGTCTGCTACGCTGCCGCTCCCACGTCAGAGGCGGAGACCTGGAGGCTCACCGAACACGAGGCACTCGCCCCCAGCTCTCGTCCACTAGTGGCAGAACCTGGGTTTGAGCTGAAGCTCACCCGCCCCCCCCTTCCCCCGCTGGGGTAAGGGAGCTGGTGGCATCCCCATGGAGATGGAGAAGTGAGGGGCATGGGGACAGAAGGGGAAGTGACTAGGGTCACAAAGGAAGCCCAGATGGAGGCCAGAGGGACTCCTCCCTGGGCAGCTTGGGGCAGGGCAGTCTCCTGGGCTCCAAGGGGCACCAACTGCCTTGTGCGAGTGCCTCCAAGGGCCAAGTCCAGGGACACCCCGGCAGCCCCTACTGGGCAGCTGATGACCAGGGAATATCTGTTATGATGGATGGGGCTGCCTTCACCGCCTCTAGTGACTGCGAGGACCACTGTGAAGGCTCACCCGCATCTGGAAACCATGCCAGAGGGGGGTGGTCAGTGCCCACTGAAGGGCCAAAACACTTCCTTCAGCATCATTGCCACAGAGGAAAATATCGGTGAAGGAAGCTGGGTATTTCCAGAGCAGACAAGTTCAAGAGCTAGAAAAAGGTTAATTTTGTTTTTAATATTTGAAATATTTGTTTATCGATTTGACAGAAAGAGAAACACCGATTTGTTGTTCCAGTTATTGATATATTCGTTGGTTGATTCTTCCATGTGCCCCGACTGGGGATCAAACCCTCAACTTTGATGTTTTGGGACAACACTCTAACCAACAGAGCTACCCAGGAAGGGCTGATAGCACTTTTTATTCCCAAGTCAAAGTCACCTGAGGACACCATCTCAATTACTTCTGCAACCAATGCTTAGAATTATCCTGCCAAGAAACGCCTCAGACGCCAGGAGAGGAAGCTGAGGGACCCCGGCCTCCGCTCGGCCAGGCCCACCACCGGGACCGCGGCGCCCACGTGCCACCAGGGTGAGAGCCAGCCTGGCCACGCCTGTGACTGTCAACCGGAGACGATGGCCTATCACAGGAGGCACAGGATAAGCCTCCCCACGGGCAGCCCAGGCCGCCTCGGTCCCCCTGAAACACGTGCGAGTGCGGTTCTCGCTCAGATCTGAGAGGCTGAGGACACACCTCCGATCTTGACCGTGAAGTCTTCGGCCACCATGCAGTTCCGGGCAGCGAGGTCTCGGTGCACGAACTTGTTGGCGTTGAGGTACGCCATGCCGTCTGCAATCTCCCCGGCCATCTGGATCATCTTGCTGAGGCTCGGGGGATGGAAGGCTGGGTTATTCTGTCAGACGGTCAAAGACAGAAAGTCCATGTGAACATGTGGGCGTCTGCCCCACCCCACGTTCTCTCAGGGTTTGCAAACCCAGCTCTGCTCCGTCTGAGCAGCGCCGGTCGCCCCGCTGAGGACCCTAGGATTGCAGAGACCACAGCCTCTGCCCTGTGGTCACGCCGGGCACCTGCTGGCCGACCACGTCACACAGAGCTGCAGAGAGACACCACCGAGCGCAACCGGGGACCAGCATTTTCTATTCGGAGTGGGGCGAAAAGTGTGTAAACTGAAGCAAGCCACTTTTGATACTAAGAATTCTCGGTGACTCGGGCTCCTGTCTGCTTCGAAGTCCCTTTCATTTCTGCAACCAGAGGACAGGTCGCAGGAGGGGGGAGCCTGACGGGGGCCGTGAGGGACGAAGCAGACGTGTGCCCCCACGGACGCCCTGTGTGTCATCACGCACAACGAGCACTGCCGCACGTGCGCTCTCTTCCCCTCTCTCCAGCTTTCTACGACACTACAAAAATGCCAGGATTAGTTTTTTCGCCATCAACTGTGGCATTCCTCGGATGATTATTCTGGGTGGGCAATGAGAAATGCAAGCATTGGGCGATGGACGTAAGTCCAGCTGAAGCTTATTCTGGAAGGGGGACCAATGTAGAACATGGATGAGCCTCTCCTCTTTGCAACAGGGGGCGACCGACTGGATTTGGAATGAAAGAGAAATACCTGCAAATAACCTATTTAGACAAAAAACTGTATAAAATGCGTGTCCCCAAGTCTCTCCATCTTTAAAAAAAAAAGTGCAAACACCCGTCAGCACCCCACAGCGCTTCCTGGTCTGGAAGGCACAGACTGGGGACGGGGCAGGGAGGGGCTGGGGCACTAGGCTGGGCGGGAAAGCAGCTGACACTGGACCCTGAGAGCATGCGGTGCGTGCGAGGCTGCCCACCGCAAACCCAGCCCTGCGCTGCGGCCTGTGCCTGGGGGGGGACACATGTGGGGGATCAGGAGGACAGGGTCACACCGGGAGCACCAAACACGGGAAAGGCCAGGCGAGGGGAGAAGTCAGTGGGGCAGAGGGTGACTCCCAGCCAGGGATGGACCTAGCTTTGGAGAGGACGCAGGGCTGGCGTGAGCCGCCAGGTGGACCTCAGGGAGATGCGGCCATGCAGGAGGTAACGGGACCCCCAGCGGGACCGTAACCAAGCTTGTAGCTGGAAACAGTGGATGTAATGAACTTAGAGACGCAGCCACTTCTGGGGAAAGGCTCGGAGGGAAGGGAACCAGCGACGTGCAAAGCTGTTTCAGCCAAACCCACCTCTATTTCCGGCCGCAGAGACCTGAGATAGCTTTTGAGATCGCCCCGAGTCATGAGCTCCATGATGACCAGCGTCGGCTGGCCCTGCGACACCACGCCCAGCAAACGCACCTGAGGGGCGACACAGAGGAAGGCTCAGAGGGTGAGGACGCCCACGCCTGCCACCGCCCCCCTCATCAGCAGGGGCAGGGCCACAGGCGAGTGGGCCCCAGGGGCTCCTCAGCCAGGGTCTGCGTCACTCCCAGAACCTTCCTGAGCACCGGTGTCTCCAGGCCGCAGGGAGGCAATGAGGGAACTCCGCCAAACCGGATGGGGACAGGTCACCAAACCCCTAGTGCGGCCACTGTCCCGCCGGGAGCTCTGGGGACGCGTTCTCCCTGCATCAGGCTTTGCCCACGCCCCCCACCAGGGGCCTGCTCGTACCACGTGGTGGCAGTTGAACTCCTTCATCACCGAAGCCTCGTTGAGGAACTCGATGCGCTCGCGCATGCTCGCGGCCTCGTTGACGGTCTTGATGGCCACCCGGGTCTCGGGCTCATCCTTGACCACGCCCTTGGCGACCCCCTCGTACACCATCCCGAAGGAGCCCTGGCCCAGCTCCCGGCTCATGGTGATCTTCTCACGGGCCACCTCCCACTCGTCGGGCACGTACACTGGAGGGGGAGAAGGAGACGGAGCTGAGACTAGGCAGTGACGGGCATGCGGGTAGAACGTGCTGCCGGGGGGGGCGATGTCCAGGGTGACGTCCGGGGCGAAGAACACCAGGTGCCACTTTGAGAGCCCCCCTAGGTGGACCCTGGGGGACGATGACCTGGCTTGTTCTGAAACGTCCCACGTGCTGTGGGTTTCAGAGGGCAACCATACACACGGATCCTGGTACTTCATACCCTCAAAGGGTCCTGGAAAACCTGAGGATCCTGACAGCGTATAAGAAGGACCAGAAAACAGTCCTATCTGAGACATGCAATAAGCATAAAATGCTCACTGTCTTTCAAAGACTGAGCACAAAATGTAATGTAAATATTTCAGTAACGTCTATAGTGACTCTACATTAAAATTGATAATGCTTGCAATATACCGGCTTAAGTAAAACATCATCGACAATTTCACTTGCTTCTTCTTAAAAACTTTTCTTATACAGCTACTAGAAAAATGGCAGGTCCCACAAGGGCTGGCATTGTATTCCCACTGCAAGCCCTGGTCTGGTCGAAGCAAAGTGTCCAGTCTTGCTGAAGACCTAACGAGTGCAGGAACCATTGAGCTCGGGCACCGAGGGGCATTCAGGGGTGACCAGCGAGGAGGGACACTGATGAGCAGAGGTGTCCCCCCGGGGCTGTGGCCTGGGCTCTGTGAACTTGGGGACCTCCCACCACCATGCTGAGGGGCTGGGAGGTCATGACCCAGCCTGACCAGGGCTTCTTCTGCAGCCTCTGCTTCTGGTCAGATTCTATCTGGTTTAAGAAAATAAATAAACGAATCATCTGAGGCAGGAAGGAAGGGGAAAGGAGGTAGGAAAGAAAACAAAACAGGATCCATTCCACAAATCCGATGGGTGGGGTGAAGAGTAAAACGAAATCGACCTGTCCCATCAGCTGCATACGGAATCTCCATCACAACCTTCGTCTACAGCTGTTGAGCCACTGTCCTCGCCTGCGAGCACCGCTCTGGGGGCAGGTGCCGCCACACACTCGGCGTGGCGGGAGCGGGTGATCCCGGCTCAGAATGAGAGAGACTGGGGCTTGGGGCGGGGCCTGTCTGCCTCTGCACTTCCAGACGTCCACCTCGGGCCTTGGCTGGAAGTCCCCGGAGCGGGGGGCTGGCAGCCGTATTCCAACGTCCTGGGTCCCCAGTATTGGGCCTCTAAGTGATGTCTTAAAGGAAGGAAACTTAAAAACGAGACCCCGGAGACAGCCCCAGGATCGGAGACCCCGAGGAGTGTCCACTAGGGACTATGTGAGTCCATCTAGAATTTTCTTCCACAGACGCTTTCGTATTTCCTCGTGCATGCGTGTTGAGATGTTTCACAAATGTGGGTGGACCCTGCACCTGGCCTCGAGGGGTCACAGCTGCCAACAGGAGGCTGACGCTTGCTCAGGCGAGTCGGGACACGAGGGAGCCCAGCGGACCAGGTGTTCATGACACCCCCCAGAAAGTACAAAGGGATAGTCTGTACACACGCATCTCGGAAAAGTCAGCCCACAAGTCAGAAGGTCGCTGGTTCGAATCCCAGTCAGGGCACACGCCTGGGTTGCAGGCCAGGTCCCTGGTTGGGGGTGTGGGAGAGGCAACCAATTGACGTTTCCCTCTTTCTTTCTCCCTTCCCCTCTCTCTAAGAATAAATAAATAAAATCTTTTAGAAAATTACAACCCTGTGAGACCTTCTTATAAATGGGAATAACGTCCTTATTGTTCCGCGCTCGATTCCCCTTCGGAGGAGGTGACCATCTATCTGCCTTCCAGGACCAAAGGGGACACAGCAAGGAGCCACGTAATGGTCCTGGTGTCACTGGACCCGGTGGCCAAGGCCCCACTCTGGCTCACTTTTCAAGGTTTGCATTTAAGCATGCTAGGGCAAAAAAGACAGCAAAAAAGGGTAAAAAAAAAAAGCCAACATTGAATACAACCCCACTTCTAAGTCAGACTCTCTGAGCCACTTCACCCAGTCACTACCGGAGGGACCACGCCCGGGCCGGGGGGGGGGCGGCGGGGGCGGGAACCGCGAGATAAAAAGTGCAAGGCAGCTGTGAGCGGTCGAAGACAAGCGTGACAAGACGGAGCGCAGGCTGAAACTGGCTCAAGAGGAGGTCTGTTTTGTCAGCTGCAGCAGGTCCTCCACCGGGATGTCAACAACCTGACAGCTTCTTCTCATTCTAGCACAAAACCCCGAGCCACTCAACGGATGGAGGACGGTGCCGGCCACAGTCGGCTCCCTGCAGCCTGTTTCTCCCAGGCCGCCCCAAGCCGTCCAGAATTTCTGAGCTATTCGGGGAAGTGCTAAAAACTTTGATTTAAAATAAAAAAAAAGTGTTGACGGAGACAGCTCTGAAGCCGAAGGGGCCTGGAAATAATGCAAACGTCTTCTCCCAAATTAGCAGCACTCCCAAGGGCTCCCCGACCTGGGGCCGCCCCTCGGAGAGCAGAGGGGGCCTTACCGTCCGCCGCGCTGAAATATTCTGGGTTCACGGAAGCGTACAGAACGCCATTCCCCAGCCTGTTGCTGTTCCTGTCAGAAAGGACACAGTTTAGACTTAAAAAAAAAAAAAAGGAAACAAAAATAAAAAACCCATCTGCACACATTCCTGTATATACTTGCATCTCTGACAAGTCTGCTTTATCTGTTCTGTTTTACTAACGCCAGGAGAAGGGGAATCAGCGGAGGCTGGTGTCGCTGACATGCCCCCGGCTGTCAGCGACACCCGCTGAGGCCCCGGGGCCAGTTGCTACTGTGTCTTTTGGCTTCTTCGCTGGCCTCAGATTAGAGCTTTTTAAGACACATTCATCTCTCTACTTCATCGGAAACGAAAAGGGTTGCTGGGTGGGCGGGGCCAAGAGATCGAGCTTGGGGAAGTCTCACACAGCAGCAGCAGTGTCTGTGTGCCGGAGCTGCCGCCGCCGGGGAGGGGACGATGGCCCCACCCCACGGAAGGGCATCCTTGCTGAACTGAACCATAGGGAAATGTTCTCCGTCCCTATGCAGAACACTTGATTGGACATCGGGTTTCCCGATCCATAAACGACGCATTTTTCTGTGCATAATGTGCACCTGTGGTTTTGCGTGAGTTATGCACGAGGACATTATACCCTGCGGTATGTAATTGCTATACCCGTGTATCATGTGCATCCTTAGCATTCCCTCAAACACTTGGGCAAAAGAGCGTGCCTTGTACACGGCAAAATACGGCTTCCTTGAGCAGCTGCCCTGCGCCCAGGGTCACGCCACCGCACCGTCCGGCCCCCGGCGCAGCTGCATGGCCGCGCACCCGACACTCACCGCTTCCTGTGGAAGACGTACAGCATGATCACCAGCCCTCCCACGATGAGCAGCGCGGCGACCGGCAGCGCGATGATGAGGTGGATGAAGTTCTCGTATGTCGCTGCGGGGAAGCAAGGGGGGGCGACAAGGTGAGCGAGCTTTTACAGCAGGTGTGGCTTGGGTCCCGTGCACAGGGACTGGGAGGTGCCCGTGGGAGCCACCTCCATGGGGATGGGTGGGGCCTCGCCGAGGGGCGGGGCGGGGGGGGCGGCGGGGCGAGCTGCGCCACCAGGGAAGATCTCCCCCCTGGAAACCATGACTGTCATTACTCTTGAAGGCCTCTCACAGCTATTTTAATGTTCACATCAAAGACGCATTTATCAGATGGCTCTCAGAATGGATGCCGGCTCCTTTCCTTCGTAATTTTCGAGACTGCTTGCAAGTTATCCCTGCCTTTGGGAGGCCGGTGGAGTCTGTTCTTTCTGCCCCCGGGGGAGGGACTGTTTTTTATTTTGGTGTCATCGATGCCACCGGTCGGGCTGCACCGTGTTCCTTTCGAGTCTTACATTTCCTCGGGGACACAGACACAAGCACATCCAGGGACCAAGGAAACAACTCTCAACTCTCGACTAGAAAACGGGCCTCTGGCGCCGCTGGGCCACGAGAAGAGCCCCAGAGACCGAGGTGACTGAGTCTGGGAAGGGAAGTCTGAAGGGGCATCTCAGCGGATTCGAGTACATGAAGGGCTCCCGACAGGGCCACCGTTGCCAGGAAGCTTCCGAGGCTTCCGATAAACAAGCGGGAGCAGACGAGGCCGAGGGGGTCTTGTGTGGCACGGGGAAGGCAGGCGTGCAGATTTCATGTCCCTGCGGCACGTGCCCAGTTCTGCTGGAGACACGCTGCCAGCGGGGCTCAGGGGTGCACACGGGGTGGCAGAGGCCACCGGGGGCATGTCGTCTCTGCCCCTGGTCACTGCAGCCTAGAAGCCAAGGCCACTGTTTCCGAGACCACGGCCAGATGGCGGGCCCCAGCCCCAGGCCCTGTCCCTGAGGGGTGGGTGCAGACAGGAGAGGAGAGAGGAGAAAGCGGGCCAGCAGTCTGGAGAGGGTCCCAGGAAGGCAGCGAAGGCGCCGGCGCTGCAATGGGGGGCCCGCGGTCACTGGCCGGAGCAGGGCACGGGGGACCCGTGGAGACTGTGTCAGCTGACGGGATCGTCTGCTTCAGCACCCGTTTTATCCCTGAAACCTGACCCAGCAATGTCATTTTCCTGACACGTCACTGTTGGGACTTGCAAATGGCCAGTGCACCTTTGACTGCCAGGAGCCAACCACAGGGCTGCTGGGTCGGCCAGGTCCCGAACTGGAGAATGGCACCAGGAGGGACCAGGACGCCACACCGCTGGGCCAGGCGGGGCCAGTCTCCCTCTTGTGGGAGAAGCAGCCAGAACGGCGTTGTGCCAAATTCCACCCCACTCTCTGGACACAAAATACTCTAAGAAACTGGGTTTCTCCAATAAGAAACGGTGGAAAGTCAGTATGGAACTAATAAGGGACAGGTGTGTCACGGAACAAACGACCGAATCTTCTCGGCCAAGCAAGAGGGCCCTTGCTGTGGTTTGCACCTTTCGCCAAGTTCAGTCTCAGTGTCTGCCACCCTCACACGGAAACCAAGCTGAGAGCCAAGGCCTCCCGCGGACCCCCTGAAAAGGGGTGCTCAGGCCGCCCCATCTGATGAGCAGGGGCCCCAAGTGCAGCAGCTCCGCGGGCCAAGCTCAGGGTGCTGAGAGGAGTGCGACCCTCCCGAAAGCCGGCCACCTCGGCCCCAACGGGAAACCACAGAACCGAAGGGTTGGGACGGGCCGGCCTTCCCCGGCCCCAGCCCCGGCCCCGGCCGCGTCCCCTTTCCCAGACACTCCCCGCAAGCCTTACTTTTGGCCTGGACGTAGAAGAACACGGGCTCCGTCCACGAGCCGTTGCCAGACAGAGAGGTGGCCTGGATCCGGGCCGTGTAGTTCCCCGGGTTGAGCCGGTTCAGCCTGGCCCCTCCGTGCTTCCTGTACTCCTGCCTGGGCACGCACTCCCGCTGATCCTGGGGGCGAGATGACGGACGGTCAGCTGCCCACAGACACAGGCGAGACGGGGACTCGAGAGGCCCCACCCCGCACCTTCCTCCTGACCGGGAGCCCAATTTGCAGGGAAAGGGACGGAACCAGGCCTTCGGGGCAGGCCTCCAGGGGTCAAGCACACCCGGGCTCGAGCCTGCAGGTGGCAAACACAGGACCACGGGCTGAATCCGGCCCTCCACCTGGTTTTATCCGGCTCGGCACCTTGTTTCTGCCCAGCGGCAGCGCCGAGCTGCTTGCCCCTGGCTTACACGTGTGCAGTCCTAAAGTTCCATTCGGCCCTCTGAAGGCAGCCACGAGGCTGAGGTGGCCCCTGGTGACAATGAGCTTGACGCCCCTGCTCTAACCACACGTGGTTTGTTTGTTTTGCAACCGAAAAAGCTCCAGAAAGGTGAAAAATGATTAAGATCATTCCAATCCATGCTAGAAGATCGTTTTGAGCGACAGTTTCTTGAGGGTGACCAGCCCGGCCCCTGGCAGAGTCCACGCCTTCCTCAACGATGCGGAACTGGAAGGAAGACCTACCGGGGGTGTCCGAGCTTATGGCATCTCGGGGCCACACTGGAAGGAGAGGAGTTGGCTTGGGTCGCACATGAAATACACAAACACTAACAAAAACCGATGGGCAAAAGGAAGGTTTTAAGTATATTTACTATTTTGTGTTGGGCCACGTTCACAGCCCTCCTGGGCCACAGGCTGGACACCCCTGAACCCTCACTGGCCTGGCCCTCATTTTCCTGTTCGAAGTCTCCGGCTCACCAGGAGGTGACCCGTGCTGCCCCGGACCCTAAGCCATCCAGTGCAGTGGACACACGCCCAGGCACGGCCCACGGGCCCCGTCTCACCTCGACCTGCGAGCCGTATTTTATCTCGTACATCAGGATCAGCCCATTGGGATTCTCGGGTTCCGGCCACTTCAGGAAGATGGAGTTCTCAGGCCTCGGCTCCCAGGTCACCGGCCCGGGAATGTCGTCTGCTCCTTCTGTGTGACGATGTAAACACGCGATCAAGTCGGGTCCGGGTCCCTCGGCAGGGGTGCCAGCACTGGGCTGGCCTCCGAGCGCCCTCCCCCGACCCAGCACCGAGGACGGTGACCACACGAAGTCCCTGAGAGCTGGCGGCTGCCACACAGCAGGGGTTTTGGAGCTGGAGCGATCGCATGTCCTGGACATCTCCATGCAGAAGCCCCACGCAGGCATGTCCCGCTGTCCCCAGCAGGAAAGGGAACCGGCGCCTCCCCGCTCCCTCAAGATGGTGGATGGCTGTCTGAGCGACAGGCAGCTTGCAACTCGCAAGGGGACGGTGAGACCAAACCAGCAGGCCCTAAGGCTACTCCAGGAGTTGACCTTGAGGACTGAGGGTCACTCTGAATCAAGGCCGCTCACTGGGGATTTCCCTGGATCTGCGAGACTCACGAGGGACCGGGCACATTTTCCACACATGACGAAAAGGGCCATGGACATGTGTGCTGAGAACCAAGTAGGAGAAGGAACCTTGACCTTGGGGCAAGCTCCCTGCTCTTGAAACTTTATGCGGAGAGACTGGGATGGGAGTGAGGGCACCATGACCCCTGGAGCTGTGGGTCTACAGGCTGCCTACAGATGGACACCCATTCTTTAATCAGCTGGATCACGCCGTACCTGCAGGCATGGTCCTCGCAAAGACAAAGTTGGAGGCGCTGCAGCCCAGCTTCTCGGCCTCGTGGTTGCAGCTGTGGATGTCGATGCGGTACAGGGTGAAAGGCCGCAGGTTGGAAATGACCGTCCTCTCCTTGTTGTCCACTCTGGCCTCGAAGAACGGGTACTCCGTCTCCGGCTCCTCCAGCTCTGTGACGTTGTAGGTGTCCGGCATCGTGCTGTTTCGGATCCGGCTGGACATGGTGGTGTTGGCAATTTGCGCGAGGTCCCTCCGCTTCCTCTCGGGTCTGCGAGGGAGAGACAAACTTGGCTTGTACGTGCCTCCACCTTTTCTGTCTCGTGTGTGACTCAGAGTAACAGAGAGAAGAGGAAAACCTTAACCTTGGAATAGAAGCAGCTATTCAGCCCTCTTGGCTAAGAACCAACGACTAGTAAGGGGATTGCCTCCTTTGCTACTACTCGGCTCGCTCTCCTCTGCACACCTCCGAGTCGGCACACAGACCGCGCCCCGGCGCCCAGGGCGCTTCCCTGAGTGTGCATCTAACGGCAGCATCCTGGGGTCGCATCAGGACTGTGCCACCTGGCCCACGGACCTCACGGATAAGCACCAAAGGGGCCCAGCCTGCTGGGCACACAGATTTATCAGGCGGTGAGGTGTGTGGCATCGGCTAAGAGAGATGGGGCGGCGGGGGAGGGGGGGTCAGAGGCTTGTGGTGGTGGCTTCTCTGAGCCCCTCTGACTATGGGGAAGAGCACAGACGCCAGCAGGGAGCACGGTCCACACCCCGGACCCTCCCCTCTGAAGTTCCTGCTGACCCCACCCCTCTGAGGCCCCAGGGCCTATATTTTTCACAGCCCCGGCTTTGCCTCTTGGCAACAGTGACCTCCTGTGGCCTCCCCAGGGCCTAGCCCCGGGGAGGGGCAGGGTCGCAGTCACTGATTTGAGCAGGGCTTGGAGTGACAGCTCCAAAAACAAAGACAGCGAAAAAAGCTGCGTGAAGTCACCGAGGGGAGCCGGTCCCCCAACCCAAAAAGGCAGAAGAGGCGGTCAGAGAAGCCGGAGGGGTGACCCTTCTGAGGGCCATGGGGCTGAGAGGCAGCTGCCGGGGGCCCCACAGCACAAGCCCTGAGCCCCCTTTCTTCCGGGGCTCCCCGGGTCCCGGAGGAGTCCCGCCCAACCCAGCTGACAGCTGAGCGTGCTCCTCCCTCCTCCGGGGCGACTGGGTTCTGCCCCGAGGCCGCCGACCTGGAACTCCCAGGACGGAGAGACAGCAGTGGAGCCACCCGCAGCCCCAGCCGGGACGCGCGCCCACGGTCGCCGCGGGCACCTGGGCACGAAGATGGAGTTGTGCAGGAAGTTCTCGAAGACCTTGCGGTACTCGGCCTCCTCCTTCTCGGCCTGCTTCTCCGCCTCGGTCTTGGGGCAGGCGCAGCACGGCCCCTTCTCGCCCCCGCACACCTCGGTCTTGGGGTTCTCCGTCACCTCCTCGATGTCGATGGTGCCGTCGGCGTACTTCCGGATGGGGATTTTGTCTGCTTGGAGAGGAGAGGCCCCCGAGAGTGGGGATGAAGGCCCAGCTCTCCCGCAGCAGCAGCAGCGGCAGCGAGGGGGCCGTGAGCCGTCCCCCGGCCCGCAGCCTGCGTCCCGTTGGGGCGCGGCCCCCACACCTGCCAGCCTTACCTTTGGAGCAGTAATTGTGCCGGTACAGGTAGCTGTCCTGGGGCTGCTGCTGCCACCGGACGATGTAGTAGCTCAGGTTGCCGTTGGGCAGCGACGGCGGGTTCCACTTCACGATCAGCTGCGAGGAGGAGTTGGACGCCGAGAGAACGTCCAGGGGGATGGAAGGAACTGGAAGGGGGGACGAGAGACAATCAGGAAGCAGAGCGGACCCAGGACTCAGGTACGCAAGGCGACCCGACCAGAAGCCCACAGCTCGGCCTGGGCGGGGAGCCGGAGGGGAGCCCAGAAGTGCAAGGTGAAGACGGAGCATTGTTGCGGCAGAGCATCGACAGTGTGCGTCCCGCTGCTGACACGCACCCCCCCCACCCCACTTTGTGAAATCCATTTCCAGGAGATCCCAGGGACAACGAACACGACTGAGCTGCGTGGGGGCACCCCAGGGTGAGGGGGACGACCTCCCCTCGACAGCCAATGCAAACACCGAGGTTTTCTCATCCGGTACAACTGCCGTCCTGCGGAGCGGTCACCCCCGGCAAGTGGGGAAACCGAGCCACCCGCTTTTCCACTGAGATTTCTGAATCTCTGATTCAAATAGCAAGAAGCCAAAATGAAAGGGGGAAGTCAAAAGGGCTGGAGACAGACAGACAAAGACAGAGAGACAGAGACAGAGACAGACAAGCAGATAGCAAGAGAGAGAGACAAAGGGAGAGACAGAGAGAGAGACAGACACATAGGAAGACAGAGAAAGAGAGACAGAGAGAAGGAGAGAGAGCAAGACAGACAGACAGGAAGAGAGAGACAGAAACAGAGAGAGACAGAGAGAAGGAGAGAGACAGATGGACAGACAAGACAGAGAGACAGACAGAGAGAGACGGACAGACAGAGACAGAGACAGAGAGGCAGAGACAGAGAGAGATGGAGACAGAGAGAGACAGAGAGACAGAGACAGAGAGAAAAGAGAGAGGCAGACAGAGACAGAGAGACAGAGACAGAGAGATGGACAGAGACAGAGAGACAGAGACAGAGAGAGACAGAGAGACAGAGATGGACAGAGAGACAGAGACAGAGAAAGAGAGAGACAGAGACAGAGAGAAGAGAGAGACAGAGAGACAGAGACAGACGGACAGAGACAGAGAGACGGACAGAGACAGAGAGCAGAAACAGAGAGAGACAGAGAGATGGACAGACAGAGACAGAGAGACAGAGACAGAGAGAGACGGACAGACAGAGACAGAGAGACAGAGAGAGACAGAGACGGACAGAGAGAGACAGAGATGGACAGAGACAGAGAGAGCGAGAGACAGAGAGACGGACAGAGAGGGCGCCAGCGCGTAGCTGCAGCAGAGCGGCCGGCGAGGCCGGGAGGGCGGGACGGCGCGCCGGTACCTGAGGCGTTGGTGCGGATGTACAGGATCTCGCTCTTGGCCCCGCGGATGTGGTCGTTCTCCACCATGGTGAGGGTCACGGCCTTCACGTACACCGCGTACTGCGTCCAGGGCTTCAGCCCGTGCAGCAGGATGCCCGGCTCCATGTCCTTGTTGGAGGGCAGGTCCACGTCCACCATGTTCCAGCTGTTGGAGCCGCAGGCGTCCTGGCCGTCGTACTCCGTCACGTTTTTGAAGGGCCTGCAAGGCAAACCGGCGCGGCTCAGGGCCTGGGGTCGGGCCCTGGCCGCGAGGCTCTCGGAAACCCTCCCCGGGGGCCTCACACATTCCGTAATAGAAACCCTAAATAAAAAACGTAACCCGTTCAATTAAAACATGTTCTGATCCTCCCAGGACATGCTTACTAATGTTAGAGAGAACAGACCGGGCGGGGAAGGAGAGAGAGAGAGAGAGACATCAGCCAGCTGCTTCCTGTACGCGCCCTGACCAGGGATCGAACCCGCAACCTTTTGGTGTACGGGACCAAGCAACTGAGCCTCCTGGCCAGGGCCGCATTCCACACTTTATGGACTAATACGACTGGCCAACTGGACTGCAGGCTCCACCACAGTTACATCCTGCTGCCGGAACGGATCTGTAGCTTTAGGAGAGCGGGTTCTGCAGTCCCTGGGGTTTGCAACGCTGCTCCATCGGCATGCACGCAAAAGTGGCTTTTCTTGCTTCCGAAATGGCGTTTTTTTCACCATTAAGGAGAAACAAGCATAGTCATTTAAGGCAAACCTCAGCCATTGATAAAGGAAAACTTTTGGAGAACAGTGACTTTGCTACGGAAAAACCGCTTCTAAAGCACAGCTCCCCAAATCTAATTTGCTCACAAGCATTTCTGATTGCTTAAGTGCCTTGTGATACTCAAATGTTTGGTTCCCAGACTGTCTCAGAAAGCAGCATCGGCTCTCTGGTGAAATTCCCTGCTGACGTTGCCGAAGCCGCGGCAGGCTACCCAAGGGAACAGAGGGTGTGTGGAGGCACAGGGCTGGGCTGGAATCAGCCCGCCGTCCGCTAAAAAAGGGCTGGACGGCTGCTGGCCCCTGCCATCGTGGACAAAGGCCCTGAGCAACCTCTGTATACAGGGATAGATAAACATCTCAGGCCGTTTCTGTCACTGCTAGGACCATGCCCGGGGCCCCGGCCCCAGGAGGGGACAGGGGACCAGGTCCTGCCCTTGGTGGTTCTGGTCCCAGCTCTGGGGAGGCCAAGCAGCCAGGAACGGACCTGCGGCACCAACGTGGGACCTGGGCCAGGGCGGGGACTAAGCGGGGGGTGGGGTGGGGGGGGAACCACCCAGGCGCAGGAGACAAACAGAGGAAGAGGGACTGACAACTGCCATCTGGAGGGATGAGTCACGGCTGCTCCGGCAGGCGGCTGTCCCCTGAAGGCACCAGACGGGCCCCAGCAGGTTCTGGGAGAAGTCACGAAAGGTTCGAGACCTCTTCCTCTCCCTGCCCCCTCGAGTGGAGGGCCCAGGACCTCGGGAAGGTCCCATGGGTAAAGGGACAGAAGTCAGACGCGGCCCTTCCCCGGGGGCCACCTCCACGGGAGCCGACCATCCTGCAGGGCGTCCCCGGCGTAGGGGTCACCGGGCAGCAAAGTGGCATTCCAACCCCCGTCCTCCATCCAGCTTATGAATATGTGGACTGACCTGATTCGCTGAGAAACAAGCTTTTTCCTTTGGATTTATTTTATTCAGCCGCCCCTCCCCACGGAAGCGAATGCTTCCCCCGTTGGGGCTGTCACAGCGGCAGTGACAGACAGACACCACCCGACCTCGGGGGGGCGGATCGGGGCACGGAGCGAGGATGGAGCGCGGGCTCCCCCACCCGCCGTCCCGCCGAGGGCGCGCAGGACTCACGCTTCCTTGTAGTAGACGGTGAAGCTGATGAGGTCCCGGTAGTCCGGGGGCCGGTACCGGTGCCACGTGACGATGATGCGGTTCTTCCACGTGTTGGTGGAGGTGAAGTGCAGCACGTCGCTCTCACCTGGGGCGCGGGGGCGCGGGCGTGAGTGACAGGCAGGGCGCCCCTCCCCCGCACGTGTCTGAGAGGTCACCTGGCCTGCGCTGGGCGTGCTCGCCGAGGCCCTTCCTGGACCTCCCAGGGGCCTCCTTACTTCTCCCGAGGACTCAGGTACAGGGAGGGGCAGGAGCAGGCTTACGGTTGTAAGTGCGCAGAACACGGTTTATGCTTGTACTATTGCTTATTAGTTACCGTGCTGTGTTCCATCCAGACTGCAAACCTACTTTTGCCCCTGCCTGCATTTCCCCACACGTAGCTCCCAGGGGCTCCTTCCCTCGTCTCGGTGCACTCGGCGCAGACGTGAACTTGTGTGTGACTCTTAACCTGAAGGAGAAGGACCTCCTGGCTGAGTGAGGTGGCCTTACTTTCTGCGGACCCCTCAGCCTGGGCTCCCTCGGGGGCCTGGGCAGGTGCCAGCGGGCCTGAAGCCGGTGATCTCTGACACGTGAGGGCCCCTGCTCTGCGCCTGCGCAACCCTGGCAAGGACAGGGGGCAGACCAGGCGTGCCGCAGAGGGGACTCTGCTCAGCAGGCACTTGGCGGCACACGGGAGGGACGCAGGAGCTCCCTGGAGGCCTCCAGCTGGTGGACACGGGACGGGGACACGTCAGGCGCCGAGAAGCACAGCTGCACCTCACGGAGTTTTCTGTGCTCCGTGGGAGGCGAGCCTTTGCTCCGTCTTGCTGCTGCGACCAGACCGAAACCTGGATGGGGACCGGAGCCAGGTGGGTGACCTCCCCCTCCCGGGACCCAGAGCTCTCCCAGGAGGTGTCCTTTGTCCCCTGTGTCTGCCTGAATCCCACACTCCGGCCCTGGCAGGGGCTAAAGGCAGAGGAAAATTAACAAAACACGTGGGATGGAGACGAGCGACATGTGGCAGTTCCCGCTAAGGCGTCAAATAGGCAGAAGACAGTTTTGTTTCTGAAAAAAGGAAACGGCTCCTGGACACGTGACCCGACAGGTCATACGGGCTGAGTCCAAGGAGGAACACGCCGACGAACCCCGACACGCGCGCGGTGTCTGTGAGGAGGGTGTGACCGGGGCGAGCAGCAGGGCTGAGGGGGGAGCACAGGCGGAAGTGCTGCCTGGAAACATGCACCCCAGCTGCGTGTCGGGTCTCTGCCCTGGAGACCTTCCCCAGCAACCCGGGCGTCTGCGCGGGGAGTCTGGACACCAGCAGCCCAGGCCCGTGTCCAGTGCGGGTCATTTCACAGGCCCTCCTCCCGCTGCTAGTGCCTGCACACACGTGTGTGTGTGTGTGTGTGTGTGTGTGAAAGTTGCCCCCATGCGTGTAAACGACTTGTTTTTCTTAATACCCTGCCCCAGTTAAAACTTGAGGGTGGGGAGTGGTCAAGGGCACAGGGGGCCCAATGGCTGGTGACGGAAGATGGTCTGACTTGGGTGGTGGGCGCACAGCGCCATACACCATCATGTAGCACAAAAGTGTGACACGGAATCTATGCGACCCCGTCCCCCAGTGTCACCCCAGTAAACCGCAGAAAAGAGAAAATGTTGGGGGGGTGACAATGTCCTTTTTCAGCCCCCCCAGCCCCACAGCACCGCCACTGTTCTGCCGCAGCGTCACAGTCGGGCCAGGTGGGAAGGAGAGGGAGGCCCCCCCACCCCAGAGGGAGTGTGGCGGGAGCCCCGTGCACACGCAGTGAGCGGTGTGTCCTGGGAGCACGGCTGTCCGGCCGCAGCACCAACCCACTGCTGGACGGTCAGCACTGTCACACGGCCGCCGAGGGAGATTCACAGACACAAGCCACCACACACACCTGCCCCCCCGATGGCTCTGAAGACGCACACATGTGAACGAGGGCACGGGAGGAGCCCCCGGGCCCCCCCAGGGCAGCGAGGGGGCACCGCAGACGGAAGGCCCGGACCTGAAGGGCGCCGCCCTCCCACCGTGCTGGGGCCTCGGCGGGGGGTTCGCACGCGTCCACTCACAGGAGGCCCTCTCTCCGTTGTTCCTGGTGTTTATGTCCCCTTTGCTCTGGCGCCCTTTGGTCCCCGTCACCTCCTCCATGCGGTAGATTTCGGAGACGCACAGCTTGGGGTTGAAGGCGAAGTACATCTTGCCCGCCTTGATGGTCAGGTTGCGGTGGTCCCAGTCCCACAGCTGCTGCAGGTTCTGGTTGTCGAGGACGTAGAAGGAGTAGTTCCTACAAGCGCAGAGACCGGCGTGAGCACCCTGGACCCTCTCCGTCCACCGTCCACCCAGCCCGCCGGCCACCCTCCGGGGCCCTCTGTGCGGCTCCGGGCTGTGCAGCCTTTGCCAAGGGTGGGGGATCGCTGGAGGGAAAGGGGGTACTGGGCAGAGTGGGGCAGAGGGAGAAAAAATTGGGACAACTGTAACAGCACAATCAATGGAATATATTTTGTAAAAAAGAATGGGCAGTTACCCTGAACCACGGCAGTAACAGGGTTCAAGGGCAGCATACTGAGACCGACAAGATGCTAACTCCACGACCTCTATTACCAACAGAGAATGCTCTCCCAGCCCAGCAGGTTCCTCGAATCCTTCCCCAGACTGCCTGTGGCTCTTTCTGCCGGTGCAGATCGTGTTCAATGCACTAGAAATCCGTCCACGGGAGAACAGACACGCTCCGCTACTCACTCGGAACGGCTCATACGCCGGCCACCGGACATCTGCCCTGATCCTCGGGGCTCCCTCCCATCCCACCCTCGGCAGCGTGGGGTGGGCAAGGCCAGAGGCTGGGACAGGAGGCAGGCTCGGTGGTGGGCCCGCCCCGGGCCTGCTCCCTCCTGCAGAATCACCTCGGCCTGAAAACCCTCAGCTTCTGCCCCTGGAGAGGATGGGGGAGGGGAAACCGTCCCCTGCTGGGCAGCCCCCTGGGCCATGCGTCCCGGTGAGAGAGACTCAGGATCCAACACGGTTTAGGGAGCTCGCAGCTGATTTCAGGGTGCTGATGCTGTCAGTCCCAGGAGCACTGGCGGACAAGCGCCGGTCTAACGGACACTGAGGGCCGGCGAGAGGCTGGAGGTCCCAAGGTGTCCAAGTTAAGTGTGGGTGCTGCCCCAGTGGGTGCAACAAAAGCAGCAGACCCACTGTCCACTGAAGGGAAAACGTGGGGACAGCTAACAGCAGCGGCCACGGCAGCCTCCGTCCGTCTCCAGGAGGCTGGGGCACTCAGGTCCTCGCTCACACGCACGGAGGACCCGCGCACAGGTGGAAACAGAGCCTCCTGCTTGAGGCCCCTTCTTGCCCCCGGAGTGTTTCTGGGTCTGAAGGGCCCTGCTGGGTCGGGCTGCTCCCTGGTTCCTGAGTGGGCCCCACGGGGCAGCATCCCCTTGTCTGGGCCGGGACTGAGGACCCACTGCCCAGGGCCCACTGCTGTCTCCACCCAGGAGGAGGCTTCTTTTCAGTAAACCGATTTCACCAGCAGGGAACAGAACTGCGCCGAAAATACCTTCTAAACAAAACATGCTTCTCCCCACGGGAGGGAGCGTGCGTTCTAAATCAGGAGTTTGACACATGAGTGGCAGGCACACGGAAATTCTGTGTGTGTGATTAACTGCTTTGAAAAGCAAGATTATCTTTTTTACAGTAAACACAAACATTTTTTTACAGCGCGGAGAAGGCCGGGGGCCAGGATGCGAGCAGCAATAAAACCCAGGCGTTACGCAGCCCGCCCGTGTAAGTAACAGGGAGAAATGAACCAGGAGCCCCGGTTAAAATAATCACCGAGGCATTCTTGAGCTCCCTGTCAATACCGGCTTGTTTTTCCGCCCCGGCTTCCTCCCCCGATTGGAGGAGAATGAAGAGACAGCAAAGGCAGAGGCTCGCCCGCATGCCTTTAACGCGCACACTCGCACACACACGCGTGTGCACGCACACTTCGATCTTCACTGTTTCCTAAAGGAACTGTCTAGACAGTTGGTTACTGGGTAAGGGGGATCTCCTCGTTGTGTCTACTGCCTTTCCAAGCAGGGAGTGTTTTGAAAATGCAGTCGCTGGTTTATTTTCCCGTAGCCTGCCCAGGCTCCGTGATGCCTGGGTGCTGGAGATGCCGACAGGCTCAGTGGCTTGAAGCACGAGGACCTGTGACAGCACCGACGACACCCCAGGCTGCTGCGCGCGAACGAGAGCCGAGGTCCTGTGGCTGGTGAGACGCCGCAGGAGGAGACGACCTGTTGACGTGAGGACCTGTTGTGCTGGAGGCTTGGCGCCCAGCCTTCTCGGTGCTGCAGAAAAACGTTTGCTTCTGCCCGGGGCGGGCCCCCTCCGCCACGCTGCAGACGAACCAAGGCAGGCGGGCGCGGCTGGGTGGCTCCCCTGAGGACGTCTGTGTGTTACCCGCACGGATGCTCCGAACGCCCCGCACGCTCGGCTGTTTCCTCTGTGGCTCCGGTCTCGGGGCTGTCTGACAGCCAAGGTATCCCCATCACCCCCTCGCCGCCTGCACCCGTGACGGGCAGGAAGGACAGAGAAGCACAGGAAGGCAAAAGACCGTGTGCAGAGTGTGGAGAAGCCAGCCTGGGTCCAGGATTCGGAGAACTGCATTTGGGAATCCAAGGATCAGGGTCTGCACGCATCATCCCTTCCATTTACTAAAGCAACAACTGTAGGCAAAGTATTTATTCGGCTTCTCCCGGGCTGAGACAAAAGGCACTGAGCTCGTGGTCCCCAGCTCAGAGGGGTGGGGGGAAGGGACCCCCTTCTCAGCCCCTGCTGACAATTGGAAGAAAATCTGCAGTGCACACGAATCCTGCTTTCCTTTCTCAGAAGAGACCACCGCCTCTTTCCGGCAGCCTCTAGGGGGCGTCAGAGCCCAGCACACGGGGCTGTCTCGGGCCTCCCAGCAATCTGCAATGCACCCAGGATTCTGCCTTTTCTCAGATGCTGCCTCCAACCAACCCATCAGCACCCGGCTGCTTTACACCTCGTCCAAATGGCCCCCACACCCAACGTCCGCGCCCACCCTGGGGTCCCAGCCAGGGTGGAAATTTGCATTCGAGTGGCACTAGGCACCAAGCGTGCTCAGGACCGTGTCCCCTTTGAGTGGTTTTCCAACAGCTTTACGGAGGAATAATTCACCTCCCCTGAATTTGCCCATTACAAATGCAGGTTCTGGGAGTTGCACTGAATTTGTACAGCAGTGCGACCGTCCTCACGAGGCAGTGTCAGAGCATGGCCACCACGCCCCCTGTTCCCTCCTCGTTGCTGGAGGTGGGTCCCTCTCCGCCAGCTGCCCCCCAGCCGTCACCGATCCGCTGTCTGTCTCTGTCGGGTGAGCAATGAAGAACACGTCTGCGGACGTTCACATACAAGTCTTGTGTGGACACGCTCTCCTGTCTCTGGGTAGCGCCTGGGTAGAGCCTGAAAGTGCTGAGTCACAGGGTTGACGGTGTGTTTTCTGAGAAAGTCCCAGAGAAGAGTTCAGGGTGCAACCCTATCGCAACCTGATCTAGAGTTGCAAGAAGCAGGAGGGAGCAACCAGGGGCTGCACGGTCGGGGGTGGGTGGGGACGGGAGCAGAGAGAAGCCTCAGCGCATCCATGAGTTTCAGGGCCTGTTACCCACCAGCTCCACCAGCTTGTACTCTTTCCAGGATGACAACCCTCGGTGGCAACAATGACAACAACGACAAAATCAGAAACTTGGCCCTGGCCGGGTAGCGCAGTCAGCTGGAGCATCATCCTGATAAGTCAAGGTTGCAGGTTCGATCCCCGGTCAGGGCACATACAAAAAGCAACCAATGAATGCATAAGTAACTGGAACAACAAATCACTGTGTGTTTTTTTTCCTTTCTCTCTCAAAAAAAATCTATCAATGAATTTTTTTTTAAGTATGAAACATGAACTGCTTACTTATCTGATGCCATCAGAAAATAGGGTTGTCCAGATAAAGGAATTGCGCAGAAAATGGTGACTTTCTCTGTTCTATTCAAGGCCTTACCAATGAGCCATCTTACAGAAATCTCACACGTGTGCACTACAAAAGTGTACACTGGTTCCCACATAAAGAGCAGAAAAATCCTTGATTTCCTTAATGTCCGAGGTATTATTACTCTGGAAACACAGAGTGAGTGAGTGAGGTCCTCGGGGAAACCCTGGCCACCGCTGGAGTTCTCTGGGACAAACTGAGGACTGCCTGATGCCGCCCTGGCCCAGCTCCCCGCTCACCGCCTGCCCTGCTGTCTGCTCCAGGGCGACTCAGCAGCCTACAGGTCAGCAGCCTGCAGGTCAGCTCCCCCCGAGCGCAGGCTCATTTCGCTCCAGGAAAACACCACTTGCACTGCGTGTTCCGGACGGGGTCTGGGCTGCTGGGGACACTTCCGGGGACACACCTCAGCGCCAGTTTGAAAGCCAAGGCTGCCAGGCAGGAAGGCTCTCAGCAGTGTGAACCTTTCCGCTCGCCATCTAAACCATCGGCTACAAGCCTGGCCGGTGTGGCTCCGCTGGCTGGAGTGTCGTCCTGTACACAGAAAGGCTGCGGGTTCGATCCCCAGTCGGGGCATGTATGGGAGACGACCACTCGACATTTCTCTCTCACGCAGATGTTTCTCTCTCTCCCCCTGCCCCACCTTCCTCTCTCTCTAAGAGCGATGGAAAAAAAAAAAGTCCTCCAGTGAGGATTAAAACAAACAAACAAAAGAAAACAGCTGCAAAACGTTCTTCCTATCGAACCACAGGGAAGCACCTGTTCGTGGCTACGAGAGGTTCGAGAAAAATCGTACTGGAAGGCAAGTGTGGTGAGGAAATATCTAGGAACAGAAACCGAAGTGCTTCGGGGATATGCATGTGAGAAAGAGCGGGAGACGGCAGCGGCTGGTTTCCAGTCCTGGAGGCACCTCGAAATTACCATGGGATCTTCAGGGAAGCAGTGGGGCCTGGACCCTGCCCCCAGAGTCCAATGTGGGTATCAGGAATTCCGAGAAGCTCACCAGATGATTCCAGCGTGCAGCAGACTTTGGGAACCACCGGAAGAGAAGCTAGCTTGGCTTACGACCAAAAAAAAGCATGTGGAAATGAAATGTCCCAAAATGTCATTTCCAGACAGCGCCGCTAATGCTCCTCTGATTCGAACGTGGGGACTGCTTTCCAGTACCTGCTGAACCACACCCCCCACACCGGGGCGCAGAACCCCTTACGTAATTCTGATGCCACCTGCCTCTCCGGCAGCGTCTGCCAAACAGGCCCCGGGACGCCCGGGCTCGCCGCCTCTGCTCCGGCTGCCCCGTCCTGAACCGCGGCCCGTCACCCTCTGTGTGCACAGTGTCTCCGGAAAGCCTTCAGGGCCACGTCTTCTAAGAAGCCTGTCTGATCATCTTCATCTGATAGCAGACTCCTTTTTTTTTTTTTTTTTCCACACTCTTGGCACGTTCCCCTTCTTACCCTCGCAGCGTCTCGCAAGTTCTGCCTTGTACTTATCTGCTGATCGTATTTCTTTCTTCTCTTGCTCTCTCCCCACTCTCCCCTGCTTGTGGGGAAGGGCTGGACGGAGCTCTCTCCCCAAGTCCGAGGAGGAGACGCAAGGACACGCATTGTGGCTGCTGCCCGCCCCCCGCCCCGCACGCAGCTGTGGGGCGGTCATCACATCACAGGGGAGGATGCCTGTTCAGCCACGGGTGTAGAAGGCAGGTGAGCGAACCCTCGCTGGTGCCCTCACTAAAGAGAGACCCCCCCACCCCAAGAAGCAGCATCCAGAGAGAAAAGGCTGGAAACCCAGCATCGTCAGGGGACATGGGTTACTCGTCAGCAACAGGTTGGGAAAACCCGAGGTCCACCAGCCCTTCCCTCACCTAAAGCGCTAACGCAGGGCAGGGGGCCGGAGCTTACCTGCGCTCGGAAGTGTCCCCAACACCTGAGTCACGACAGGTGTCCTTAAAGAGGCCCTACTGGGACTTCAGGTTTGAGACCATTGTCAGATCATGAGACGTACCATAAACATTCTGGCATATAAAAACCAGACTTTCGTTTTCAGGTTCACTTACGTGTATAACACTTTCAGCGAACACACGCCAAAAAGGTAAACACATCATGTACTAATCACTAATAAAAGTTAATTAAATGCCCCTCTCAGCTTTCCATGTCTATCATGTGCTCAGCCTGGGGGGGAAAACGTGTGCCCTTCAGCAGCAGGGAAACTCGCAGATACCGGTCTCACCGCCAGCAGGGATCCCAAAAATCTGAAACTGCTTGGGGAAGGGGGAAAAAAGAAAACGTTTTGTTTTTTTTTTCCCAGAGCGGCAGAACCCCAGCCTGCCCTCCAAGTGCCACGGGACACGCCGGGGCTGGGCGCCGCGGCGGCCTCTCCGAAGCCGCCAGAAGAAGGGCGTCTCTCCGGAGCATCATCGGGGCTCCCCGTGGGGAGGGCGGTGTGCTTTCCAAGGATGGAATGAGAAGCTGCCCTCCCTCCTTCGAGGCATCAGGTGATGGAATCTGAGGAATTTAAGGGCGACCCAGAGTTCATCCGAGAAAAGCGGGGAGGCCGTCAAGGGACCCCGATGGGGTAACTCGATCCAGTCAGGACAGCCCACCACTGAGGAGGGCCTTTCCCGTGGCCTCCCCACCTCTTTCTGCCCTAAGTTATTTCCCCCAAATCTCTTCGGAAGGAATTCGTTCATTAATGGATGTCTCCTTTTATTTTAAAGTGTCTGCTTACAGCCTGGCTAGAGCTGTACTGGAAAGGGGGAACATGCCCTGACAGGGTGGCTTGGTTGGCTGAAGTATCCTCCCATGCACCAAAAGGTTGTGGGTTCGATCCCCGGTCAGGGCACATACATAGGTTGTGGGTTCGATCCCCGGTGGGGACGCAGATGGGAGACAACCAGTGTTTCTCTCTCCCCTCCCTCCATTCCTCTCTCTCTAAAATCAATAAACGTATCCTTGGGTGAGGATTTTAAAAAAGAAGAGGGAGGAGTGGGAAGAGAAAAGTCTACACGCAAAGGCACACACAGGGAAGCTACTGGCGGGAAGCCGCGGATGCGACAGGCACCGGCTTTTCTGCGCCCTCCAGTGGAATAGTCTCGGACTATTTAAAACCGCTCTCCCAAAGCACATCTCTGCAGCGGGCAGAGTCTATCAACGGCACAGATCCTAGAAGCTAATCAATAAAAACAATTTTGTGAATCAAGGTTTCTTTATAACCAAAGAATCGTCCGTACGCCTGCAAATCCCTTAGGTTCCAACAGGTGAAAAGACGGCCTGGTTTCTGCGCGGCAGGTACGGTGCCCGGGGCCGAGAGGGGTCGTGTCGGGGATGGTTCCAGAGAGGGCGGCACGTCAGACCCCTTTCTGTTGCGCTTGGCACAACGAGCCCCCAGGAGCCTCCTTGTCTGCGATTTCTGCTGCCGCAGCCGGACACATGGCCCTTGACCAGCGCCTGGGACCCATGCCCCAAAGCGGCGTCCCGGGGACGGAGACCTGGGACGTCAGGGAAGCCTGTGTGAGGACACCGGCCACCCCTCAGGGCGCGCCAGGTCGACCACCGTGTCCTCCCGCCTCCTCCTGCACAGGAAAGGGCCCCGAGTGACTTCGCCGAGTCGCACGCAGCTCTGAACGCACGCCCGCCCCTGAGCTGCGGAGCACTTACCCCTCGAGCTGCTCCTCTCCTAAGATCAGGCGAAGGTTCTTGAGGAAGGACAAGGAGACCAAGGCGTGGGAGTGGCGGATCTTCACGTAGCCCGTCACCACCTCGATGAGCCCCATGAAGTTCTCCAGCTCCGAGGCAATGTTATCTGCGGGACAGGGGGCCGCGTCACCGCACATTCGCCGAGCGCACGGGGGGCACCCTCGGATTCTCGCCCCCACACGTGGAGCGTGAGTCCGTGCCCAGCCTCGTTCTGGGGGTGACACGGAGACACACTCGGGCTGCCGGCACAGGACCCTCGTCCAAGACTGCTCCTCCAGGCCTGACTCCCGGCACCCTCTCCCAGGACAGGGCCCCGGCCCGAGCCAGGGAGGGCGAGTTTCCGGAAGGCCGGACACTCTCGCCCGCAGGCCGATGAACGGAATGGAAAATCACAAACACCAGACTGCCAATTAGCTAAGGCCGACACGTCTAGGGAACGTCTTTTAATGCACTCTGTCAACAGCCGGCGCCGCCTCCGCGGACAAGGGCATGCCTGGGTAAACAACGTCCTCGCAGCCTCGTGACCGCCTGCCCGCCCCCGCGGCCGCTCCAGTTCCTGAGACACCGGGATCCGCCTGCGTGTGGAGATCCCGTCTTCCCAGGCCTGGAGTCTGAACACACGCCGGCGTGTCAAGGATGGCCACCTGCAGGGGATTCTGGGAACTTCGTCTCTGCACGCCCAAGTTTTCCGTGGATTATCCTCGCAGACAGAACCTCGTTGGGAAAATCGTGGCTAACCCGTATGTGAAAACGATGGTATACAAACAGTGTGTTTCCTTTCACCGTGTTTAGCGGTAAATAAAGCTCTTGCAGTCAACAAAACCCCAGAACTTCAGTTCCACTTAGGCCAGAATTACAATATGATGCTGTAATGAATTGGGTGTTGCTGGACTAATGGATTTTACTGAGTATGCTTTGTGAAAACTTATTTGATGAAAGGTCATAGCTCACTTTGAATTGATAAAAATAAGGGTACTGTCCTGGAGGGTATGATTCTACATCTAACGTTCAGTTTAATGGCTTTGCAAGGGACATGAAGGAGAAATTCAAGTTGTCAAGTCTAGAGGTTGCCGGCAGTTGATGTTTCAAGGAAAAGATCTTGAACTTGAACTATGGGGCTGGATGTTATACCTCATAGTCAAGGGTGGGGGCTGCCCTTCCCAATGCCATGGCCATCACCCCAAGCCCCACTGACGTCCTACAGTGGACGCAAACCGGAAGGCCCATTTCATCATCGAGCACACACCGTGCCTGTTCCTCATGAAATTATCCTCCTCCACGGACTTCATTCCTGGATCGCATTTTTATCTTCAGCATAGGAAAATCTTTAAGAGCAAGTTTAAGCACTTAAAAAGTATGTTCTAGGGATGAGCAAATCTTGCGAAAGAGTGAGCAAAAAATAAAGCTTTACAAGCACCTGGGGGGCAGTAGAAAACTCTCGCCTCGTGGACACAAAGTTATCTCTGTTGCAAAAGGCTGGAAAATGTGAGGAGGAAAAAAGAAGAGACACCAAAAAACTGAAAAGAACTAGGCAAAAATCTGTTCCTGCTGTCTCTAAACCATAAAAATATAGCTCACTCCTTTCCCAGAGAGCATTAAGGAAAAGTAAATTCACAGAACAAATAAATTAGTCCTTTTTTCCCCCCTCAAATTATAACAGCACTTTCTTCACAAAAGAATTTAGGGGAAAAAAATTCCTTTTCAACCTCAAGGTCTTCTTACTATATTTATTCTAGCTTATGAAACTACCAGGACCTTGACCAGGGGCCCCGCTGGGGAGGATTTAAAGCACCACAGCGAGAAGCCCGTGTCCGTCAGAGATCAGAAGTAAACATGTCATGAGCATGTGCGTGGGACCTGGCCCACACAGATGCAGTCACCAGGAAATTCACCTACCACCCCTGACACTCACCCTGCAGGGACGGGGGTGTGGGGGTGCAAAGGGGGCCAACACGGTAGACGCAGAACGACACGCACAGGTCTTTCTGGCCCTCGGAGGCAAGGGCAACTGCTCTTTTGGACTTCGGAACATTTTAAAGTGATAGCGTGAACCCTTTCCTTTGCCCGGTCTCCTCAAACAGATCCGAGCAACTAAAACGCTTTGGGGCCCAAGCTGTGCGGCTTTGGCTCCCACTGGGCACCGCTGAGTCATCCCTCCGATCCATCATCTCTCCTGGGGTTTGTGTGTCCGAACACGCACCTCCTGCACAAGAGGCAACTCATGGAGACATGAGGAATGGCCCTCTGCAGGGATCAGCTCCAGGCCAACAGCAAAAAAAAAAACAACAACAACAACAACAAGAAAACCCAGACCGCCTTTCAATGTGGGTTTTTTTTTTTAATCTCCAGGGAAACGCAAAGGTAGAGGCGTCGAGCCCAAAGCTGACGCACCCCGCTGTTTTTCTAGGCCCACATTTCAGGTGTGAGTCACGGACGGGCAGAATAAAAGCATCGATGCCAGAAAACCAAGGGAACCGGCCATCCCTCCCAGGGGGATGGGATACTTACTGCCCCGTCGGATGTTAATGAGCAAATTGCCCTTGAAGATGGTGCAGCCTTGGAGCATCTGCGCGGACGTCACCGAGTCGATGGTCTTCGTCTTCTTTTCTTCCTCACAGACCTTGGGGCAAGGGCCTTCGCAGGGGATGCAGTACATGCTGTGGAAGATAAAGAACCGGCCGCAGACACAGAGGTCAGAGTGTCCCCTGGCATTGGAGGAAATCCTAAGGACCTGCTTTTCTGCTGGTCGTACACATTACGCGCACCGATGTTTCGAAGCATTCAAGTAGCCCCACTGTAAACCCATCCCAAGCCCACCCAGGGTCAGCCACGCAAGACCGCAAACCGAGGGAAGAACGTGCTGCTTATTTCAGACAAAACACACGATGCATCCATGAAGCACACGTGTCTCACGGGGCTGGCGCCTGGTGAGCCAGCTGGCCTCCTGTGGGGGAAACAGCCTCCCAGAAAGGAAGTGCTGGGGGGTTCCCAGGAGAAGGAGGCTGCTCTCTGATGCTGCCGCCCCCTGCCTGGCGCCCCCTGGAGGTTGGACAGGGGCAGTGCTCCACCAGGAAGAGGAGCGCCACTCCCACAGCCAGAGTCCAGTCCCGGGAAAGCCGGGTGAGGGCCTCCTGAAAGACCCGGGGCACTGCGCAGGTCCGTTCCTCTCCCGCTAAAGCACAGCTGAGATTGTCTGACAGTGTTTTACAGAAACTTGTAAACTGATCCAAATGTTGTTTTCGCTGCACACACAATAAGAGCCGGGAACCTCCATTACTCTGTCATGAGCTCCTATTTCCGATGCTGCCCCGAACATTCCGCAGACCACCAGCAAGCAGTCAGGGGCTGCGGCTCGTCCTGCTTACCTCCGGTTACTTAGGAGACAGTGAGCCGAACGCTAACCCAGCCACTGAACCGCAGAGGGCGGATCAAGGTTTGGGTTGATGTCCAAACCAAATAAATGATACATTATGGGTGTGTGATAAGAGGATGGTCAGTTGGAGAGCCATGACGTTTTATATCACAAACTTTAAAAGAGCATTGCATGATCTTTTAAACTTTATGAAGATTTAAAAAAAAAAAACGCATTCGAGACAACAGTGGAAGTTATTGCTGTTTTCATTAATGTCTTTTCCCCCCTGGAATTTTGTGTCTCTAAGGCCAAAGGTACAGGGTTGTATTTTGTTTAAAAGCTTAATAGGTGAGCAAAATTTCCCTGGTGTTTTCCTATTTCGGGCGGGAGAATGGGAGGCGAGCTTTTCAAGGGAACTGGGCCGACCACAGGAAAGGAGAGTTCTCCTGACGTCAGAGAGGCAGCTGATCCATGTGTCTCGCACACAGGGACGTTTCTCTCCCTCTGTCTCCCTCCCTTCCCTGCCTGGAAGGAATCCACAAAGATCGCCCATTTAGGGACCCGCCCCAGGTCCCTAACTCCTTCCTGGCGCCCCCTGTGCTACTCTCCATCCCTTTAATTTACTTGGAGAATGTCACGTACATGGAATCATATGGTATGTGACCTTCTAAGGCACGCACCACATCCGTGTGAACAACGTCCCTGAGATCCACCGCAGCTCTGCACGTGGTTCAATAGTCGGTCCCTTTATACGGCGAAGCCCCGCCCCCTGGTGCGGATGTGGTTCAATAGTCCGTCCCTTTATACGGCGAAGCCCCGCCCCCTGGTGCGGATGTGGTTCAATAGTCCGTCCCTTTCTACCGCTGAGCCCCGCCCCCTGGTGCGGATGCGCCGCAGGTCGCTCGGCCGTTTGCCTAGTGTGAGACGTCCGCGCGGTGCCCGGTGTGGGGCTGCGTGTTGCAGATGCAGCTGCTATGAACAACTTCATACGTGTTTTCGCGTGGATGTCAATTTTCACTTGTCTGGGGCAAATGTCCAGGAGCATAATCCCTGGGCCCTACGGAGGTTTAGTTCCCCCCAACATTGCATTTGAACAGCAATTTCTGAACTAAATGCTTTTGCTACAGTATTAGAATCTTGTATGTCAATAGTAGTTCAATGATAAAACGTTGAGAGAGGGATAAAAATGATAATAAAATAAATAAATATTTGGGGAACTAAAATGTCTAGGAATCAGGTAGCAGTTTAAAATGTTTGCCTAAGGAAGCACTCTGACTGTGTGTTTATAGATTAAGCTTCCTCAAATCCATTCTAGTACCAAGAGGGAATAAACAGTATTAACAATGTTTTAAACTAAGTGTTCAATAGGCCTTACAGGCTGGGAAGGGGGGGTGCGTATTTTTTCTTGATGGCGTGTTATTTTAAAGTGGAAAAGCCACACTGGGGCTTTGAACAGACAATAAGAACGAGTCGGAAAAACGAAGGCTCAGTTCTTGGAAGGAGGCGCCGCGGTGCGAGCGACAGCGCTGTGGAGAAAGTCTGCCCACTCCCACGGAGAAATGCGGCCACGGGGCAGCGACGGCATGATCCCCGTTCACGGACCAGCCGCCCTCCGACCCCACCCCCAGGAGGAAGTGTGGTCAAGCCTCGTCTGGTCCCAGGCTGCCCATACGATGAATGTGAGCAAAGCGTGGTGGACTCACTGAGAGTGGAATATGTACACATCGCTGTTTGCAGGAGTCTCTGCACATTTGCCATTTTAAAGTAGTTAGGGCAGATTTTACTACTACAATGGTTACAGAAGTTATCAGGGGCAGAAAGTTGTTCTGCACCCACTATTCGGGGCTAATGTGCGCTCCACCTTGGTTTAAAGTTAGGCCTTTGGTATGAGCAACGTCTCGAAATGCGACATAGGAGACAGAACCCCCTTTCGAAAGTTAGCCACAGCGGCTCACAGAAACGGACTGCGGTAAAAGCGGGAGAGTTCCACTGCCTATTTGACATCAACGTTCACGTTTCTAAGGGTGTTTTATATTGGTGGGACAGCCTAAACGGGGGGCTAGCTGGTGCCAGTCACGACGGAGGACTGGGCCCTCCGTCACATCCCGGGCTCCTTGCTCGGCTCCAGGGGGGCAGACGGCCACCCCAACCTCTCGTCTTCTTGTGCTTCTAGGGTGATAGTCCTACGAATTCTAAAAGTGCTAGCCTTAGTTTATTGTGTGTGTGTGTGTGTGTGTGTGTGTGTTTTAAGATAAACCAATGACAATTTTATGGAAGTCCAGTTGGCTTGCTCAGAGGGACACCTATTACTGTAAGGAACTGCTTTGCACCCAAGTGAAGTTTCGACATTTAGGAAGAAAAAACGAGGGGCAGAGAGAAAAGGGGACAGCCAGGGGTGCTGGACAAGGGGGTGAGCGAGAAGAGAAGGTGCTGATGGAAAATGTAGGTTCTTCTAGGCTGCTGCTCACGCTTCATAGCTGCCGCCTCAGACACAGGATGCCCGCTTGTGCCAGAGAGGTGTCCTCGGCCCGCTCCCTGCCCTCAGCCTGCTGGGGGCTCATCTTGCCTCCCCGGGCTCTTGCCGCACACCCCAGTCTGCAGTCCTCCCTGTGTGGATGGCAGCCACACAGGCAAGTGCTCAGGGAGACGGTGACCTGCGGGTCCCTGAGCCAGCAAGGCAGGTACTTCGTTTCAAAGGGCCCGGCAGTCGCCTTCCAGAACAGAATGTAAAACAAGCTGGGGGTTTGGGGGCCGGGAGAGACACTTGTCAGGGGCCTCTAGACTCTCACGGAAACTGACTCAGGGCAACCCTCTGAGGTGGGCCCACCCCTTACCCTCCACAGAGTCCCACCAAGACAGGAGAAGGGTGAGACGCCTTCTGTAGGCGGGGCTGCGTGACCGCCGTCCCTGAGACTGACCTCTGGGTGCCGTTGCGGATGAAGCCCGAGGGGCACTCCTGCATGCACTCGCCGTCGTGGATCACGAAGCCCTCGGTGTCGCTGCTCTCGGCGTTGAGGATGTTGGCGCAGAAGTCGCGGTCCACGCAGCGCCAGCCCTCGAAGCGGTAGGTGTTGGGCGGGCAGCTGGGCACGCAGACGCCGGCGTAGTAGTAGTGGCGGCAGGCCACGCAGGCCGCGTCGTCGTCGGGCGCGCTGCAGCTGCCCAGGCACTCCGGGTGGCAGCACTCGCTGTTCTCCGTGCAGGCCCGCTTCCCGCACGCGCTCGGGCACGCTGTGGGGCGGAGGGGACAGGCAGTGAGCATGCGCCAGGACAGGCAAGGGAGGGGGGACAGGCAGTGAGCATGCGCGGGGATGCGCGGGGTGGGGTGGAGGGGACTGGCGATGAGCATACGCTGGGACACACAGAGTGGGGGGTAGGGGGACAGGTGGTGAGCATGCACCGGGGCACACAGGAGCACGGCGGGGGAGCAGAGAGACTGGGGGGAGCTGGCGAACCCCCTCCGGGCCTGGGCACCATTCCTCTGAGTCATTCCCCACCAGATGGCTCCAGTGACGGAAACCGACCCCAGAGAGCACACCTGAAATGCCCAGTGGGAAACCGAGTCCCACATTAGGTGTCAATGACAACGTTCTGAGTTTCACCCCGGCCGGGAGAAAACACTCGCATTTGGAGTCAGAGGAGCAGGGGTGGAGCCAGCCCCTGCCCCGCACCAGCTGTCTGTTGGGTCTCCCCCCGAGTCACTGGCTCTGTCACCTGGTCACTCTGGTCTCATCTGGAACGTGGGGGAAGGCCCCCCCCCCGACCCCGGAGGGCTGCCTGCAGTGCAGGTGAGACTGTGGTGGCCCCGTGCGAACAGGACAGTTTCTCAAGACTGTAAGAGGTGCGATGCTCTGTCCACTCTACAGTTTCAATGTGCCCCTCGCTGAAGTGTCTTGAAAAGCCTCAGCGTACACCAGTGTGTGACTATGTTAAACGTGATCAGACCAGAATATGGGGAAGATGGTGCTGTGTGCGTCTCCAGGATGGCCGTCAAAACCCTTGTACCATTTTCAAAGGTCTCACCCAACCCCCTCCCCTCACTGACAATTTAAACAGAATGCAGACAGACACCACTACCAAACAGCTGTCCACGGAGCACTGAACACGCAAGAGAATTTAAAAGAACAGAAGAAATGGTCTGCAGGCACTTGCTTGGAGTCAGTTATTATACACAATGGCAAATGGCAGGCATTTCCAGTGCGAGAAAAACAAATCCAGAAACACATGACGAACTGTCCGCAGATGCACTTTGCATTCCGTCTGCCCACCCCCCCACCCCCCCCACCCCCGTTGCGCTGGACTCTGGGGAGTGGTGGCCTGAGACCCCCCACCCCAGGGGTGCATTACAGGGAACCCCACGGGCAGGCAGAGCCAGAGTTTTGGTTCATCGACGGGAGCTGCTTTTGAAGGAATTTCAGGGCAGCCTGAATGAGGGAAAATCATGCCCTTCGGAGACAGAACAATTCCTCCGAAAGGGATCCCAAATCAAGGAGTTCCTTTCCGTCACCTGATGCCAGCCGAGCACAAACACACACCAGATACTCCGGGGACAAGAGGCAATGGGGGGGGGAGGGCTCCAAAGGAGAGACCATTGGTTTGCTGAAGGGCAAACTCACCGCTCCCGGGTTGGAAGCCCCGGTCGGGGTGCCCCTGGCTGCCACACCACCCGAGAGGATTCTGGGAGGCCGGCAGGAGAACACGCAGAAGTCCAGGATTAGCGAGTCCTGGAGCCAGCCCCAGAAGCCTGCTGTAAATTCTGTCTCATCGTAATGTATATAAATATTATTCGTGTTCGGAACTATTAAGGGATTTCTTGAAAAGCCCCGGGCAGTGTGTCTCGCCAGCAGATGGATGGATGCGCCATATGCATGCCAAAACTTTAAATTTAGTGCAGTTACCAAATTTCCGCTTACGGAACGGGGCAGGGGGAGGAGAAAGGAAGGGGGCCTCCTCCCTGGCTCCCACGAGGAAGGAGCACACCAGGCAGGATTCAGAATAAAAGGGGGACAAAAGCTGCTATGAACTAACAAACGTACAGCGGGAAAAGACATGGATGTTACCATGAAGTCTTTCTGTTCATTGGAATTCTTGTAATGGCCAACAGTAAAAACAAAAGCCTGTTTAAACTGCTGGAAAAGCAAACGACATGTCCCACATCTACCACGACACGGGTCAGTTTGGGTCACGGTCACAGGAAAATAAGACACTGCATTAAAAGTTCATTCTTGGCCCTGGCTGGCGTAGCTCAGTGGATTGAGCGTGGGCTGTGAACCAAAGCATCACAGGTTTGATTCCCACTCAGGGCACATGCCTGGGTTGCAGGCCAGGGCCCCCAGCAACCGCACATTGATGTTTCTCTCTCTCTCTCTTTCTTCCTCCCTTCCCTCTCTAAAAATAAATAAATAAAATCTAAAAAAAAAAAAAGCTCATTCTCTTTGTTTTAGGGACAGGAAAAATGTCACATGAGTCAGCTGGTAACGCCCTCCCTCTCTGGGGTCTTTGCATCTAATAACTTCTGTTCTTAGGGTTTTTAACAAACATTTGTTTTTGTTCTCGCCAGTAAGTTCTTCCACAACCTTAACCTCAGAGAAAACGTTTTTTAAAAGTGCATGACAATAATGTGCTTTGCTGGAGGAGAAGATGGAGAACTCGACCTCTTGACAGGGAACAAACAAAACAAAACAAAAAACAGAAAAGAGACCATTTAGCCACATCATTTTTAAAAATGGAAACAAGTTTATCCTGAATCATTTCTGAAGGATAGAACAAGTTCACAGATGTTCAAATGAGGTCATGCTTTCGAGTCACAACACAGAGTGGTCGAGGGACATCGTAGCTATTTCTGGGCCGCCCCAGTGACACACCGCTGCTCCCCGTACAAGGAGGGGTGGTGCCTTTCCTACCAGGCACACATCCACACATAAAGGCGCCTGGACCGCTGCTAACTCCAGGAAAGCGCATGTCGACTCCCAAAGCACACCATGGAGACACGGGGCCCGGAGCACGGTTTCCAGGCTGTGCCAGGAGAGGGATTGACTCCATCAGACACCATCGGGAAGGGCAGGGAGGACAGGGACCGCCCCCCCCCCCGTGTCAGCTGAACCCCTGAGTGTCCTCCACAGAACACCGAGCCACAAGTGAGCGGGTGAGAAACGCTCCTTCTGAGCGTCACACACATCAGCCCTGTCGGCCAGGTGCTCGGCTGGGTCCCGCAGACAAGGCAGGTACAAGAAAGCTCAGCCCTCCCCGGGGCCCCACCGGAGGACAAGCAGTGAGTGCCAAGAGGGACAAGCAAAGGCCCAGGTGGGAAGGGTTTGCCAGGGGGTGGGACTGCCAGCCGGCCTGCAGCCCGGTGAACCACGGAAATTCCACCTGTTGGTTGAACTTCCCAGCTGGGACGGAAAGGCGGCCTATCCCCAGGGGCCGTGAGTGACTCTGCAGGAGCTCAGGGCAAGGCCAGGGAGCCCCCTAAAGTCATCTGCAATCTGACCCCCCGACCCCGCCCCCGTCCTCAAGTCCGTGCTGCTCCGATGGGCCCAAGCACAGGCACCGCTCACAGCGGGCAGAGTCGCGGGCGCAGGCAGACCCGCTCTGTCTCATCGGGGCTTACTGGGTGGCGTTCTCTACGTCCCTCAGCCAGGATGAAAGAGCAGGCTTAGGGAAAGCACTTCCATCCAAGGAAGAAAACAGAAATGAACCTGGTACAACACACGCGCATGCGCACACATACACTCAAAAATAGAGTGAAGCACAATTTTCTTGAAAGGAAGACAAGAAGAAACTGTCACATTTCTCGATGGCCTGACACATGGTGGATGGAAAAGTGCCCAGAACCACTGCCTGGGAAGCCTGGGGGGGAGACGAAAACAACTCGCAGACAGACGGTGGCCATTGCGCCCCGTCAGATGGGCGTGGCCAAGGAACGCTCAAGTGGCAACCCTGTATCTCACATGTTCACAGAAGAAAATTGCATTTGCAACAACACGTCTCTTTTCAGCAACAAAGGAAAACACGTGGGCGAACACATTCAACCAAGAGTAGCCAGAAAAGATACGTTTTAATGGTTGGAATCTGAAGTCACTGGAGTTCCTCAGCTGGAACCGGAAGCGTCCACCCCCTGAAAGGCCACCGTGAGAACCAGAGCTCCGGGAAGGGACCCACCAGAGGCATGCGAAGGGACTGGAACCGAGAACTCCCAGCAGGCAGGGAGGACCTGGTTAGGGACAGTGTGGGCCGTGGTCAGTGCACCAGTGGGCCTGTGAACTTGGGAAAGGGGTGAGCCTGAAAGCTCGTGTCTCCTCCCAAGGTCATTGCCTACGAAGGAGCTGCTCCTCACCATTCTTGAAGGGGTTTTCAAGACTCAGTCTTTCTAACAGAAGGGCTCCTGGATATCATCCTCATGTTAACATTGGAACTTCCTGCAGTACGGGGCGGGGAGGCGAATACAGAGGGGCGAGAAGTTTTGTACTTTCACTCCTCATCACTCCTGTTACCTGGCGTCCCCCACCTTGCACACCTTCTGAGGTGACCTTGCACCGCGGGACCCCGCCAGAGCACGCAGGAGCGGGCAGCCTCTGGCGAGAAGCCCCCAGGGCCATCCATCTGTCTCTAGGCCATCAGCAACAAGTTCGTGTGCTTATGGTCACTTTCCCCCTGGGCACGGGCCATTCCTGGGAGGCTTTCCTCAAACCTCAGACACCTTGAGGTGCAAGGAAGTGTCAAGTGCCTGTCCAGAACACGCTGTGACAAAGACCTAGGGGAGCCTTCAGGCAATGACCTTGAGAAAGCGCTGCTCCAGTTGCCTGAGAACGCTGGTCTTGACCATGGCCCTCCCGGCCCCCAAGAAGAATGCATTCCCTACAGTTCTCTCCAGGCCCCACCCGGAGGTCTGATACTCAGGTGAGGCAAGGTGGCTGCCTTCTCGCGTGGGTCCCACTTGCAAGTACTCCCTCTGAACTCCGAGGTGGTCGGTCTGGCCTCCCTCCCGATACCTCATCCAGTCACAGCTCTGGTGACACACAGACGCAGCGGTCCCCTCCCCCACGCCCACACTGCAGCGGTTGTGTGAACAGTGTGGGTACCAGGGGACTGAGGGCCCAGCACGGGTTTCCCTCGGCCAAGGCAGGATGCTTGGGCGGGAAGATCTCTCTGAACCATCTTCAAAATAGCTACCGCCACGCCATCGGGCTCGCTGGTTCTGAGCTTCTTGTCACCTCCGAGTCCTGCCGTCC